CCCCCGCAACAACAAAAAAGAGGCAAACATCCTCGATGAATCATATCGCGGCCCCGATTTCGTCCTCATTATTCCCACCATTCAATCCCTCATTAGCTCGTAAATTCATTCAATCATTCGCATCAGACATCAACTTCACTTGGCAGCGTCATTGCCCTCACTAATCGTCTTCTCCATGTCACTTGTCGGCGTAGTGGCAGTCGGCGAGGAGATGGTGGGTGAGGAGGCAACGGTCGAAGAAGCATTTCTTTTCTGGAACCAACCTCCATTTTCCCACGTTCCTGGTCGGTATAAACAAGAATTCTGAATTTTCTCATCCACGATGCCCTCCAATAATTTGTTGAGTCGTTTAAAGTCAATGGGCTTCAGAATCCAACCATCAAATCCGCTATTGATATAGGTCTTACGTTCTCGTTCCAGTAATGAAGCAGATACAGCAAAAATGGGCACTCGTCCGTTCAATGATGCCCGAGGTGCCAATTGTTTTTCAGGATGTGTTTTTTCAAACAGTCGAATCATTTTAGTACAAGAGAGTCCATCAACAATTGGCATCTAAATGCAAAGTCAGTGATATACTCGCGAAAGAACAGGGAGTTTTTCTGGTAAACCGAAACTGCTCCTCAAGTTGGCCATATGAAGGAGTCCGGTTTACTGATGTTATAACAATCAAGGAATCATGATACGGATACTTACTTGCATATCCATGAGCACCACATCGAAAAGTGAAGGATTGTTTGCATAAACAGTAGCACAATCTTCACCGTTGACTGTTTGGTGTACATGATGACCACTCTTTTCCAAACGCTTCTGTATGATCTTACTGTTAACCGGATCATCTTCCGCAACAAGGACTTGCAAATGGTCCGCATTGAATTTCGCATTGCCTTCCCGAACCGAGGTGGGCTTATCGTCCGGGAGATCAAACAGTACTCGTGAGTCTCTTTTAGATTCCACTGCCGGTTCCCTATCCGTTTCTTCCAAGTCATCAGGCATCCTGACTGCACGTAGCATTGTCTTTGTATCAGTGATGAATGCGGACCCTTCAAATCCATCCGCGATGGAGCGGAGATCCATGGCTCCTTGTGATTTTGAGCGTGAAGGCTTCGCAGGTCGAGAATCACCTACTGGCTGAGAAGATGGAAGACTATGAACGCTATGGTTATCTTGCCCAAACTCCCGACTATTCGAACGCTTAGACCTCCTTTCGGGCGACTCTGGTTCGCCAACATTAAGAGGGCTTGATATGGCCTCAATCAGCCTATCCACGTCACTTTGTTCACTTCCATTGTTCGAAAAGCTCTTGAGGCTAGTGGAACTAGTCATGCCGTCGAGGCTGCGCTTTCGAGGGATCCCATCACCCTTGGCCGTCTTCCCAATAAGTGTCACCTCACCGACCATATCGGGCGGAGCTGTTGTGACAGCAGTAGGAGGTGTGGATATTTCGGTGTCGTTGACAGATGGCGTGGAAAGACGTTGTTCCTCGCTTGATACGGCATCATCGTCCGGAATGAGGAAGGTTAGCTGCATGACAAATCGAGAGCCGTTTCCCTCCTCCGATTTAAGACGAAGTTGGCCACCCATATTACGGACGAGCCTTGCAACCATGGCAAGTCCAAGACCCAAAACGCGTCGTGGTTTCTGCTGGTCCGAGTCTTCTGACCCGATGAGCGAGTTATCACCATCGGAACTGACCTGTTCAAGATCTCTAAAAAGGCTATCGAGTTTTTCGTTACTCATTCCCGCGCCAGTGTCGGTGCAAGCGATTTCTACGCTCACTGCTGACTCTACAAGTCCTTGGAACCACATCTCCACATGAATCGAGCCACTGGACGTATGCTGGATTGCGTTTGCAATAATACTGGCCACTGCTGTTCTGATTCTCCGCTGGTCTCCAAGAACAAGTTTTGGGAAGCCAGGATGCGTGACGCATGTGTATTCCAAGCCTTTTCTTTTTGCGTCCCCGCTGAACGAATTAAAAGCCGCGCGAACAGTAGCCGGCAGATCAAAGACTTCATCAGTGATCAGGTCTCGGCCTTGTTCAGTTTTGGTCAGATCTAATAAATCGTTGATGACGTATATCAAAGATTTTGATGCCGAATGCGATTTGGCGAGGTTTTCTCTAGTTTCCTGGTCCAGGGCCCCCTCAAGAGCAATTTCCAGATAGTTTATAATGGCATTTAATGGAGTTCTGACTTCGTGCGCAGAATTTGCGAGTAGCAGACGATTTAGCTGGCTATGGTGTTCTGCAGCCTCCTTTTGCCGCCAAACCTCGATGAACTTACCATACACCAGACACAAGACGGCTGCCGTCTCCACGTGGTTTTCAGTCCATTCTCGACATTTTCCTTGCACCGTTTCATTCCACGTCTTGAAACTTGATCTTGGTTCCAGGTACGCTTGAGTTCCTTCTTTGATAACTTTCTCGTAAGGATTTCCAGCCCATTTGACAACCTTGGTTTGTGCTTTCCGCAAGAAGACAATAAAGTCAGAACCCCCAACGCTCAATGGAACCAATAACAGGCCAGCAATTACTTCGAACCCAGGGGGATATTGTAAGTCTGGGAAGTCCGACTTGATGTCCTGCGATGTTATAACGGAGGTGATTTTTCGCATTCGGAGGTACTGGAGCATGGCAAGCGCTTCCTGAGATTGCTCCAACTTTCCCATAATCTTGGTCTGTCCTTTAATGGAAACCAGTCCAAAGTCCGCGTCGAAAAGCTTGAGAAGATCATCTGAGGAAGCAATGATATATCCAGCAGGATTGGCCTCGGTCGGGACCGTGTTAATAAGTTTTCGGGCTTGAAGACGAGAAGCGTAAGACAGCCCCTCAATATTTCGCGAGGCTGTGTCGCCAATGAGTCGGCACATCTTCCTGATGGGGAATGAGACTCGCATGCCTTTATCGCCATAGGAATGGCATGCAACCAGACCCCATAGCTCACTGAAAGCATTAATTGAGATACTCATACTCGATCTAACAGCCATGTTGGATAAATATTTGATGTGAATCGGTGACATGGTCCTCAAGTAGCTATGCGATAGGTCCAAAGGGAGTTCCAGGTCCTCCACAGAACGACAGACAAGTCTAGCCGATTCCAGATCTCGATCATACAATAACCGTACCTTGTTGATCTTGTACATTTCGCGCGCTTGGTGTGGGATATCCGAGGCCGGAAAGTTGAGCCCCTTGTATAAATCCTTCGTTGCACGCGGGTCAACGAGCTCGGTAACAACACGTCCATTGAAAGAAGAATCAAACTGATAGATCATGACTCGATGAAACCCGGTTAATTCTTTGACCACGCCCACCAATATCTTCAAGAAAGTGTCCAAACTTTTGGCAGCCGCCAACTGCTTTTGAACCTGGGACATGACATTGAAAACTTGCATAGCTGCTGCTTCGCCTCTTCGTTTTCTCGCTGTTTTCAAAACTCTGAGTGGCCTGCTGCTATTGATTGTACTCTCCTGGTATTCTTCTTGGGTAGGACGAGAGTCGAGTGTGTCTTCGGGCGTATCAGGTGTCTCGCCTGGTGGAGCCAACGGGTGGGTGGTATCGTCATCCAGCTCAAACTCGCAGATGATACGATCCGGATATGCGGGGTGGATGTGCATGGCACACCACAGCCTTGTAGCTTTTCGGGTTGGTCTGGGTGGTTTGATGCAAATGGTGAAGACCTCTGGACCATTCTCTGCCGGGTCGTCATCATCGTCACGAACGAAATCCAGATGGTCGAAGATATTGTGAGCTTCTTCCTCACTCAGGATTTCGGTGAAGCTCTTCAACCTGAACAGCTCATGTGGGGTATAGCCAATGATCCTCTTCGAATTTTCACTGACCATTCGAACTAGAAGTTCCCCGGCGGACTGTTCCTCGAGGCAGACCAACATGCCGAATCCCTGTACAGCGCCTGGCATATGGATGGGCTCGTCCTCGCAACGCTGTAGCGCTACCCCATCTCGACCAGTGATGACTGCATGGCCCTCTGCGGTTATTTGGTGTGTAAATCTAGTAGTGACGTGCAGACCCAGTTGCGAGTCCTCGGAAGTATTAGCGCCCGTTAAAGTATGAGGATCTGAGCGGCCTTTCAAACTCGTTGATAATGATTGCTCAGGCGACCTCTCAGGAGACTTTTCCGATCCATAATCGTTAAAAAGCTGCATACGACTCCCCCCTCCATATCGTTCGGAATCAGTCTCCGCGTTGAGAAGTGCTCTTCTTCGGCCTCTGGGAACATCCTTCGTCACAGATACGTTGTCTGTTGACTGGACCGGTTTCGGCTTCCTCTCAACGAGTGAGGTCAAGGGACTGGGAGTTCGACGCCGTCTTGAAACTGGGCGGGGGGTATGGGCATGGCTGCTATCAACAGGTGAGAGGTCTCCTTGATGACCAGGGGGAAAATAATCCTGCTTTTCGAATGGATCCTGATAATTTGAACTTATTGGGGTTTTAGTTAGGGAGCTTAAAATGGATGGCGTTTGCGAAGAATCCACACGAACAACACTGCTGATGGGAAAGACGCGGTCCTGACTAGACATGGAGCTTCCCAATCGACGTTCGGAACCAGTGCTGTATGAACTGTAGGATGAAAATCTGTCTTGCCCTCGTGTACCTTTTTTCGCCGTTGTCAGGTCAGGCGTTGGCTGAGGAGTATTTGGAATGAGGGGTGGTGATGGGGATCGCCTGGGGACAAGTTCATTAGCTTGTATGGGATCGGGGCCTTGAACTCGGCCTGCGTTGGCCTGGAGTGGAACTTCTGGCTGCCCCGCAGCCCCCGTCAAATTTGGAGACATCCCTTCGTGGACTGTTTGTGGGTTTCTTTAGTCTTGCCACGGTATGGACCTTCTCTTGCCAATATGAGTTGGTGAGTTTGGGTATGGTACCCTGGAAAGAAATGCGGTGCCTATGCCCATTCAACCTGGGATATGTGGATGCGTCTAAAAACGCAGAGTAGATGTTTCTCACAGCCGAATAGGAGGGCCCGAGGACATGCGGGGTAGCAATCAACCGGAAGAGGTTGAGATGGTGGGTGTATTTGATCACTACGTATGCGCGAACAGGAGGATTTGGTGGTGAGTGGTATTTGCAGATATCTGCAAGCCGACTGGAGTATTGCACCGGACGAGGTTCTTGAATGTCTGTGGTCTTTTGGAGAAAGGCTGATGGGTCGTCGGGGAATCGATGGGGTTGAGGTAGCGTGGTTTTCTGGTACTTGTGAGGTTTGGCGTGTGTGTGGGAAAGACCGCAGTGAAAGCTAGCAGAAGTACTGGTACTCGAGAATGCACTGTAGTGTATTGTGTTGTAGTGAATTGCAATGGATTGCAATGTCTAGAGGAAGAGAGACAGTGAAAGATGAAAACAATAGGTAGGAATGAATGGTGATGGCGTGTCGGAGGAGTCGGAGACGAGGAGGAAAAGAAGAAAAGGTTGAGATGCCCAACTGGGAAAGTTGGAGGTTCTCGTGGGGTGCAGGTGGTAGGCGCCGTGGAGGTGCCCGTGGTTCGAGATTGAGATGGAGGTTGAGGTTGACGATGCAGGTAGCACCGACTAATGACGAATTTCAGGGAAATCGCGACTCGATGAGGTTTCCTGGTACTCGTACCGGGACTGTTTACCTAGGGACCCGTGGACTGCCCATGTATCCGATAGTGCAGGTGGTGGCAAGTGGCGAGGGCATGTCCAACTAGCTTGAACTAGTCCTAGCCCGAGCATGAACTAGGCGCGTATGTGGGGATTGTATGAGAACTAGTACGAGTATGGCATCTGGCAGCGAGAGATGGCAGCTACTTTGGTACTCGTTAGGTAGTGAGTTGTGTACTCGTACGGAGTAGAAGACCAGCCAGTAGCAGTACCTATCTACTGCTACTAATGGATTAGTAGTATTAGTATTAGTAGTATTAGTAGCAGTCGCAATAGCAGTCTACTCGTACTTCGGAGGTAGTCGGATTCCGACTGTCGCTGGTGAAGGGAGAGAACGTACAAGGATTGGGGTCCCTGATTGACTTAAGGTTGGTGATTAAAGTTAGTGTTCATTCCCACCGCGCTGGGTGAAGGAGTTGATGGTGGCACGGCTGGGTGGCTGAGAGGTTCAGTGGCTGCCCTGCCCGGAGCATCATCTCCGGAGTGGGTATGTATTCCGTACCTGGTACCGAGGCGAGAAATCGCATGGCGTTCACACATGGAAATTGGAAAACCTGAAGTCTCACAGGTGATGTCACGACGCTCTTGCATTCTAGCTTGCACTTCGTACTACACCTGCATCTTTGCATTGGAACAATGCCCATCCTAGCCATCGCTGTAGCGATATGCACCGAGGACGGTACCGATATTTAGGGGTCCTGAACCTGGAATCCTGAATCCTGCATTTTGCAGAGTGTAGTGGGTAGTGGATGGCTCGGGTGGGTATGGATACAAGTAGCCGTATGATGTATCGTATGAGGAAAATCGTCAGGGATCAATTCTCCTCCAAATCTCTTCGTGGGCGCGCAATGACGTCAACCAACATGGTGCCTCCTCATGCTCTCGCGACAAGCGACACCACAAGTCGTACTGTATGGCGTGGCATCACCTTGCCAGTACTCGAGTACCATTGGGATTTTCAGGGTCCTACAGGGAGCTTCAAGCTTCAAGCTTCGTACTCGAGTTCTGGCCGGATCATCTACGGTGCCCCTCGGTTGGTGGATGCTGTGCTGGTCTGCGTGCATGCAAACTTGGAAATCCTTACATTGTACTTCTACTGTACAGTGCAGTGGCGAGGTAGGTACGTTGAACTGCTCGGTAGGGCAGGGCTGATCCGTACTTGTACCGACCTGACTGGTGCGAGTCAGGGACTGGAAGAACCTTATTACATGAACAATTAAATCGATTACGGGTACTCCGTACATACGAAGTACGAGCATTCTGGAGTGGCGAAAACTGCTGACACCTATCTACGGAGGTATGTAGCCCTGAATCGGGATCATTGGGGGTGTCGGCAGTGTATTGGATATTTGTATGTATCCTAGGCACTTCCTATCAAAATCGAGGGATACAGATACTTGCAACCACAAGTAGCCTAAGTACTTGGTACTCAAGAGAGTCTTGTGTCTTTTCAGGATAGGCCAACCAAAATTTACTCTGTAGGTACTCAGGTACAATTTATGCAATATCAAGGTACTCCTTGAGATATCTCCTATCTCATTCCAATGACCTTCGCATTATCTCCCTCTGCTTTTTTCTCCAGTAGCACAGTCGACGTCAGCTTCATTTGCAGCTTATGTAAGATTACTGAGTCGCCTTATGTATTTGTGAAAGGCAGTGAAAAGACTTCTGTGCAAACCCAAAACTCCACAACTTAAGCATTCGCAAGAAACCCATGGGCCGCGCTAAACGCGTCTATCCAACGCGCTTAGGCGGCAAACCATATCCCTCGAAAAACAAATCCAATTGACACCCAAAGTGCAACCGTCGGTCGATTCCAGTCAACCGCATGTTTCACACCACCTGACCTGAGCAACTACTCCCATTTCCACTTTCGATTGATTGAACTCAATCGACCCTCCCATTCCTTCGCCATTCCTCTCTCGAACTCGGTCTGATCTTTGACAGTCCGATCCCTTCGCAAAATGCGATGACGACGGCGATGGTTCAGTCCATGACAACTCGATACACCTTGAGAGCCTGCTCCTCCAACTGGACAAGGGATACCTTGACGAGAGGCCATCGATTGTGTTTGTTCAAGGAGGACGCAGCCTGGTTTTCTACGAGTCCCGCGAAGACCGCTCACGTCCAAAATTCTTGTCATTATGCACGAACATCAAGGAGCACAGACTTTGGTTCCTCAAACTTGGGCCTCACGATTTTGAAGTATGTTTAGCGGACTGGTGACTGAGCGTTGGGTTATGGCTGTATCCTAACATACTTTTCAGAGACCCGATCAGAAGATGGGGAGCGGGAAGGGCCGTTTCCTTTTCGACCTTTAGACGTCTGGAGAAAGAGAACGGACACAGGTATGAATGAACTGGAGCGCTTTACCACTTCTCGTTTACGACTCAACTCTGGATGATTGACTTTCTTTGCAAGGGAAAACAAAATTTCACGTGACGAGATATCCCTCAAGAATCATGACTGACATACAGACCATAGCCCAGAACCGTCTCCACCAAAGAAGAAAAAGCCACTTTTAAAAGCCTTGAAGGCACTGACACCACATGAAAATATCTACACTGTCCCCAACATTCTCACAGCCACCCGACTGATTGCCGCTCCTGTAGTCGGATATCTGGTACTACATGATCAACATGCTTGGGCAGTAGGACTCTTTGCCTATGCAGGTATTACGGATTTAGTGGATGGATGGATTGCAAGAAAATGTAACTTACAGACTGTGGTTGGAACGGTAATTGATCCCATGGCCGATAAGACACTGATGACTATTTTGACCGTTTGTTTGGCTATCAAGGGGGCTCTTCCAGGTATTTATTTACTTTCTTTTTCCTCAAACTTCTTTCACATTACCAAAGAAAAATATTAATCTAGAATCACCCTCAACAACCATCACCACCTTCATACATACTCTCTGACACATACTCATATAATTCCTAGTCTGGCTCGCAGCAATTATCCTCGGCCGCGACGTAGCCCTGGCCATATCCGCCATCTACTTCCGCTGGATCTCTCTCCCACCACCCAAGACTTTCACGCGGTACTGGGATTTTAGTCTACCCTCCGCCGAGGTACATCCCACAACCATCAGTAAATACAATACCGCCCTGCAACTCGGACTCATTGGGGCTACCACCGCTATGCCACTCGTCGGTGCTACGATGTGGGGAGTCGAAGTTGCTCCTATTATGACTGGGATGCAGTAAGTTTACTTTTGTTTCTCCCTTATAATCTTGTTGTTATTTACACCTGAGATTAGCGACAAATTTCTGGTTTTGATACACCGCTACTTATTGTGGTGGACATGCTTTGAAAGGTGGTTTCTGATGGTATACAGGTACCTAGTGGCTACAACCACGATCTGGTCCGGACTGAGTTACATATACACCAAAGACGCCGTCAAGATCCTAAGCCAGGATAATGCTTCACCATCTTCTTCGCCCGAAGGTTCTAAAGGGAAGAAAGAAGACTCTGAAATATAGGAGGTGTTTCATTGTAAGAATTGGATGTATGAAAGTACGGTGTCTTACTATTTGTTGACCTGTACTGCAAAGCGAAATTTGTTTACGTATTGAATATTGTTGTAAGTTACAACTGTTTTAGAGGAGAACCCTCGTATCTACAATCGTTGTAATTTTCCCACGGTTACTAATAGGGCTGCAAAGGTTTACAACGGTCGTAACTTCCCACAGCGGTAGCAATGCGAATTTTAAAATGGGGGGTTTTCCTGTAAGGTATTAAATTTTTGTCTTTTTGGGAAGACGTCAACGCGTATTTGATTTTCAGTCATTTGATTTCTCTCTGTCTTCCATTTCTCGGGCTGTGGAGGGAGATCTTTCAATCTGATTCGCTTTCCAATCTCTCTCTTATAACATCACAAACTTTCATCTTCCTCTTATACTCCTTTCTTCTTCCTCCCCCCTCGCCTCAAATACCCCTCACAATCCCCTAGCACATCGACCCCCTCTCATCACATCTCTATCTCTATCTCCTTTCTCACCCACCCAGGGATTACAGGTCTTCTGTCCCAGCCATCCAAATACGCACTTCTCTCCACTCCTTCCTTCTCAGGCTTCGCATAGATGGCAGTGACGTACCAAACCACCTCACCCTTGTTAATTGTATCCTGAAGTGTGGGAATCACGGTTCGGCTGGAGATGAGGTTGCTGTTGGGGTCGGCGTTGACTAGCATTGCCCATCTCTCTTTTCTCTTTCCTCCTGCTATACTCTCTTCCACGGCAGTGCTTTCCTCCATCGCACAAATCCCAACCGCTCCCTTAGAAACAGCAAAAGCCCCCTTCTCACCCGATGATCTACCTTCCGGCGTATCAAGATCATAATTCCCAATGATTTTTGGCAATGTGCCTTCATGTGTTTCCGTCGAGTACAGATCAAGATACCTCCCATCCTCCATCCTCTCATTACAAATCGCAAACGCCCCATCCGCAGTCATGACCTCGCGTCCAGCTTCAATTCTATGGATCCTCAGATGCCAATTCCGTGTTTCTTCCACGGGGGGGACGAGATATGTTTTAATCTTGACGTCTGGGAATGGCTTCCAGATGGATTCCAGAACGGGACGCGAATCATGGTAGATGATCACGGCGGATTCACACAACCGACGCGTTTTCCAGACCTCCCCGCCGTCGTCGGAGAGGCCTAGCTGCGAGGCGAGAGCGAATTGCTCGAGTGTGAAGCAACCGGTTGGCACCGAGTAGCCGTAGGCAGAGCTATATGCGAAGGAGCCGTATTTGGCGTGCGTGCCTTTCATGGGATACGAACACGCTTGACCCGAACTGAGGATCATCTTGTGGCCGCCTAGGTAGGAGATGATATGTCCGGGGTGTTTCAACGCCTTTGTTTTTTCCAGAAGATGCGTGGGATATGCTTCTTCCTCCGAGGTCCAGAAGGGATGGCTTTCCGGTACAGCGAGGCAGATGAAAGCTAGAAACGCCCACATGGGGGACATGGGGGAGTTGTAGTTCTCAGCCATGTACGTATTCGGGTAACAATACCCAATCGTCAACGTCCCCGTCGGCGACCAGATATCATGCTGCGTCTGCCACCACCTCAGATTTCTCAACAAGAGACCTTTGCCCATCCCCCACGTCAGGGGAGCAGGCAACTCCACATCCGCAAACGCCAACGCCCCCCAAAACCCCGCCATCGCAAACCGATACCCCACACTCCTCCCAAACGGCGTCGCCCTCCCCTCCTCATCAAAATAATGCACAAAATCCAACGCATAGTCCTGTGCTCTCTTCTTGAACTCCCCCGCCTTCACGGGATCATCACCCCCTTCTAACTCCACATACAGCAACTGCAAAAACTGAATCGCAAAACTCCCCGAATAATAATCCTGCTGCCAGATCCCCTCAGGTCCATCATTACTCCACCCGTCCCCGCGAAAAAACCCATTCAACCTCTCCATATCCCGCTCCATCCTCGCCTGCTCATACCGTCCCCCATTCTTTTTTAACCCAATGTTAGCAAAAACCCGGAACCAGAGCCAATTCGTATCCGGCATCTCCTTCCCATTAACCGCCTCGCCCAACCACTTTTCCACATTCTCCCTCTCCCTCTCATTCAAACTATCCCAAAACTGCGGCGCGACAGCTAAAAGGAAGCCTAAGGGACACATCTCTACCATCCTCTGATCGTTATCCCGCGCCCACCCCCAGAATTCGGGGGACGAGGGGTCGGTCCCGGCTTTTATACCCTCTATCCAGTGATCTGTGAGGGGGGAGGAACCTCCTCCTGCGAGCAAGGCGCCGAGTCCCCAGAGGGGACGGCAGAACCCTTCGATTTCTGAGGCGCGCGCGTCGAAACGGGTTGCTGTCCCGCCGGGGACGCGGATGAGGGCTTTTAGGGGCGAGAAATGGGGGGTTAGGGGGGTGAGAAGGGTTTTTAGGAGGTTTTGCAGGGAGGTACGGTTGGTGAGGGGGATTTTGGTGAATGGGTGTTTGGAGTTGTAGCCGAGGAGGAGGGGGGGTGAGGGGGTGGAGGGTGAGGAGGCCATTGTGTTGGTTTTGTGTGTGTTGTTGGTGTGTGTTGTGTGGTGGTATTGTGCTGTGTTGTGATGGAGGGAAGAGTTGCGAGGAGGAAGGGTGGGATTGAATTCTATTCAATGGAATTGAGGTCAATCAAATCAATCCAAATAGTCCTCTAGTACTCGAGTACGAGAAACCTGCTCTGCTTACCTAGATCCTGATAAATGAGTGAGCGGGCATGGTGTGATGCTTGATATTATACTCTCCTATCCTAGAATATGTGGGTACCCACCCGTACATATGACGAGAATAAATACCCCGCCATTCATTGAGAAGATGGTGGGGCAACACATACGATGTGCAGGAAGGTGATGCGAGGTGGGGTATACCGGTAGAGTAGAGGAGAGAAGGTGGGGGTGGGGGATAAAGTCAATTGATGTGATTTCATTGGATTTGATTTGATTTGGTAGGGTAGATTGGTGTGTACGTGGGTAGATGGATGGGTGGGGCTTGGTATTTAGGCTAAATAGGTAGTGTATTGTGTGTATGTACCTCTACTTATGGAAAAGGATGTTGTAGGATAGGATAGGATGGGATGGGACGGGATGGGATAAGGATAGGATAGGATTCAAGTAATTTGGTGGGGGTTAGGATGGATAGAGGTTGGGAAGATAGGATAGGTGATATGGATGGAAGTAGTACCTATAAGGTGGTTGGAAGTAGTATAAGGTAGGTAGGTAGGAAGGTAGGTAGGTAGGTAGGTAGGTAGGTAGGTAGGTAGGTAGGTTTGGAAATATATATATAGTAAGAGGGGAGAGGGGGTTTAAGTAGATTTATAGTATAGGTAGGATTACTATATTAACGCCAGGTAATATAGTATATATAAATAAATAGTAACGTGGTTTATCAGCGAGTCGATCATATCAGCGAGTCGATCACTTTTCCTTGGCACTACCTCCTCAAACTTCAACACACGTTTTCTTCAACTATTTACCATGGAAATTCAAACTCAAGAAGCGCGAATTACTCTAGCTATCGAGGCTATTCGGTCGTCCAAAAAACTAAGCAAACGCTCTGCGGCAAAGATCTACAATGTACCATATACGACTCTTTCCGACAGAATGGCTGGCCGAACCTACCGCCCAGATTCTCAAGCCAATTGTCATAAGTTGACTGAGTTAGAAGAGGAAGTGATTATTCGGTATATACTGGATATGGATTCCAGAGGATTTGCGCCCCGGCTCGCTGGTGTAGAAGATATGGCTAATTTTATCCTTGAATCGCGGGGGGGAAGACGCGTCGGCAAGCTCTGGGCCCATCGATTCGTACAACGACAACCAGACCTTAAGACGCGTTTTAATCGCGTTTACGACTTCCAGAGGGCCTTATGCGAAGATCCTGACGTGCTAGGCGCATGGTTCCGGCTAGTAGAGAATATGAGGGCGAAATATGGGGTTACAGACTCCGACTTCTACAACTTCGACGAGACAGGCTTTATGATGGGTGTTATTTGTCCTAGAATGGTTGTTACTCGTGCAGACCGACGTGGTAGAGGCAAGGCAGTTCAGCCAGGCAATCGGGAATGGGCTACAGCAATTGCCTGTATTAATGGGGAGGGCTGGAGTATTCCTCCATTCTTGGTAGTTCAGGGCAAGAACCATCTCTCCAACTGGTATACCGACGGCGGCCTCCCACCTAACTGGGTTATGAAACCGACAAGCAATGGTTGGACAAATAATGAAACAGGCCTGGAATGGTTAAAGCACTTTGATAAACACACTACAGCTCGTGCAAAGGGTCTGTATCGAATACTAGTTTTGGATGGGCACGAGAGTCATGAATCGGCTGAGTTCCAAGACTACTGTACGAAACACAACATTATTACTCTTGGACTACCTCCTCATTCATCCCATCTAACCCAGCCACTTGATGTTGGGTGCTATAGTGTGTTAAAACGAGCGTATGGTCGGCAGATTGAGACGTTTATCAAGGCCCATATCAACCATATTACAAAGGTTGAGTTCTTTCTAGCCTTTACAGCAGCATACAAGGAAACAATGACAGTCCTAAACTGTCAGTCTGGATTCCGCGGAGCTGGCCTAGTACCATTTAACCCGCAAGCAGTGCTTTCAAAGCTTGACGTAAGGTTACGGACTCCAACTCCCCCTCGGACGTGTAGTGCCAACTCCCTCCCCTGGGTGTCCCAGACCCCTTCCAACCCAACTGAAGCCCTTTCACAATCAACTCTTGTACGAAATCGTATAGCCTGTCATCAAGGAAGCTCGCCAACTCCACTTTTTCAAACAGTTGCTGCGTTAGCAAAGGGTACAGAGCGAATGGCACATGAGATGACCCTTTTGTCTGCTGAGGTCCGTACCCTTCGCGCTGCAAATGAAGCCCTAAGTAAACGCCGTAGGGCTAAAAAGACTCGTGTCCGCCAAGGAGGGGCACTTATAGTAGAGGATGTACAGGATATGTTAGCTCAGGAGGATGTAGATGAGCAAGTACGACGCGACATGCGTGAGGCGGGGGTTGGTTATAAGGAGGGGCAACCTTCTAGGCGGCGCTGTAGAACTTGTGGAAAAGCTGGTCATAACGCGCGAACTTGTCAAGAAGTTATAGATATATCTAGTTCGTCAGATATAGAGAGCGATAATTAATTTAATATATTGTGGTTGATTTATTTAGGTGTAAAGTTCTGTGCCAAGAAGAAGTGATCGACTCGGTGATATGATCGACTCGCTGATAAACCACGTTATATATAAATAAAAGAGAGTGTGAGGGTTGGAACCCATGATGGAGGCTCGGGCCATGCCCTCGCTAAGCACTGACCAAAGTCCTCGTTAAGCACTGACCAAAGTCCCTGCTTAGCACTGGCCATTACCCCACTGCCAAACAGGTTTCTACTTTTCCACACTTTCTTATTTTGTCCTTCTGACATCATGTATTCGTCATTCAAGTTTCTTGCAAGTTTCTTGGAATATTCAGGAAGCTCTTCCTCTCTATATATAGAGGAAGAGCTCGCATGTATGTAGTCTTCACGCACTTCTTAATTGAATATTCGAAACCACACCTTTCAGCTATTCGAGGTCTGGCCTCTCACAGAGAGTCATACTCGTATACTTATATCTACCTATGTTTTTTAAAAGGGGTTTAAAATTAATAGATATTATATTTTCTTATAGGTAGGGATTTTTCAAGATAAAGAGCGGGGTTTTTAGGAATTGTTTTAAGAGAGAGAGGGGGGGGGTTAAGGGTTTTTAGAAGATAAAGTAGGTAGGTAGGTATAGGATTAGAATTAGGATAGGTACGGAGGTAGTAGAGTTATATAGGAGAAAGGTTTTATAATTTAGTTTTAGGAGGGAGAGTTTTATACTAGAGAGAGAGAGAGACGCTATTAGCCTTTTTAACTAATAGCATCTATATTTTTATAGAAACACGTAATAAGTATTATAGCTATTCCCGAGGTTAAATCTATAGCTTATCTATTCTAACTAGTTTATATTCTGCCTACTAAAACGACTAAGTAATAATATATAACCTAATTAGTATTCCTTTTTAAGGGTTAGCTATTCTTAAACAGGTATTAAGGCTATTCCTTTATCCTTTCAATCAACAGCTCCGATATGATTGTATTCTTCTTAATGCCTTTGTTAGTTGTGAATGTTCTTTATTCACAACCCTGATACAGTAACAAGGTGTGTCTTTGTTTACACATATATTTTGGTTTACTTTTCATTAATCACCTTTGAGGCTGTGAAATCAATAGTGATTCATCCTCTTGCCTATCGTAGCCCTCCTTCCTATAAGTAGACTCAAAGTCCTGAACAATAAAATAGAACTTTCTACTTAATCTCGCCATCTTAATATTCAAGTCTCTCAAATCACACAACTCTCACAGCCATAAAACCAACCCATACTTCAACTTGACGCACTTCAAATCAAGCTTTAAACCCCAACCATTTCTTGCAAAACAATATCCACAATGCCGGCTGACCGACACACCCAACAACTCCCTGCTTCCGCAGCTAAGTTTCTCAATGGTTTTCTCTCCATCTCTCCAGATGTCAAGAGCACCTGGTCAGAAGTTAACCGTGATCGCTACGAAGATCTATGCAAGGTCCTTACCGGGAATACCGAAAAGGAAATCAAATGGAGCTTCACGGAGTGGAACTGTATTGTGAAAGAAATTAAAGAGTTAAAAAAAATCCCTAAGGATTACTCTGGTCTTGTTCCCGAAAACGAAGGTCTGCCACGTAAGGACTGGACGGAGCAGGAAAACATGGCGTTCTCTGCCATTGCTCGCCGGATTCCACAACCTCAGATTACGCTAGGGGATATCATTGAGTTGGAGAAGAATGAAGTGATAGAGAAATCAAACCAAGGCTTTGTTGGAACCCATTTCAGCACTTGCAGATATGGTATCTACATTATTAGAGGCTCTGGAGACTTCTCGTGCATTCCTATTGATTACGCTTCCTATTGTTGATCACGTCCCGATTAGAAAGGAATGCCAAGACTGGAGGAGTCGTATGGCGAAGATTATATTCCTCCAAAGGGATTTTTCTCTTTCAAAGACTGATGCAGGTTGATGGTTGTTCTTACGTAGAAAGCCGTTTAATCTCAGCATTTAATCTTCGATCAATATGTGTTACTTAGTCCCCCCCTTAAATAAACAACCTCCCATCTCACCTCCCCCCTCCTCAAAATAACCCTCCTAAAATACCCCTCCTAAGAAACCCCCATGAAACCACACACCCCACCCCCAAAAAACCGAAGTCCAAATAAACATCCCCCCTTCCATAATCCTTTTCAAGCAATTTTACAACTATTTTCAACTTTGACGTAGTTTACCTTTGATTTCTGTTCCTCTAAGTGATTTTTGTCCTATTTGGTGTTGCAAACTCATCCCAAATAACTTTGAACTCTCCCCCCTTTCAAGACTGATTGATCTCGCTTATCAAGAAACCATACCACTTTAAGAATTTCCCCCTCATCAAAGCTTCCAAGCTTTCTTTCTAGAAAAAGAAGAAGTGCTAAAGAAAAACGGGCTTGAAATCTTCAAGTTAATTTATCTTTCATCTGGTATTACTGTACAACAGTGATGTGACACTAAATAACCTTTTTCTTTGTTAGTGTCCATATATCCCTGTAAGCACAGCACATGGCGCTCGTAGACTGAATACAGTGATTCCGTCCATACACGTCACCTTACCCACCTTTTCAACTCCAGTACGCGTATCTGGCGATGCTTTATTCACATCCAGTAATAATCAAGTATTCTCTCGCTTAACATAGAGCAAAAACGCATTGAATTCAAGACTTGAGTGTGGAAACAAGGAGAACACAGAAAATAATAAATTCAAACTTCAAATCAACGCAAAACGCTCAAGGCCATTAAAGCATCTCTCCCACACAACCTCCCTGCCGCGTACAATAGACCCGATCATGACCCTATTCCTCCTGACATCCCAAGACGCTCAGCCGCCAAAACCAGAATACAAAACACAAAAAACATGATATTCCCCTCACAAAAGCCTCACTCTCCTTGTCCGTATGAGTGTATCCGCATGGTATTTCCTAGTAGATGATATCAAGTGGCACTTGAGATTAGATGATTTCGATTACGCCCCAATGCTCATCTCTATGCTCTTCGTAGTGTAAGAAAGCTTCTTCTCCTGCTCTCAGTTTGATATCTTCAAAGCTGCTGCTCAGCCTAGGGAGAATCAACTTCCTATAGCACCCAACTCGCTTGTATTGACCCCTGGAAATACCTGTTGGGACAATAGCCAAACCCGACTGACCGTAATATCCTTCGATGTCAACGTTGCAGATGGGTACGAAAAAGAAAGTAGAGTCATTGTTGATTGGCCCGTCCCAATGCATCCAAACATCTGTCTTCAGCCCACACCGTAAACTTGAAGGTCATGTAGTAGGTCCTTCCCGGGCCGCCAAACGCGGAAGGCAAAATATGTGCTTCTAAAAGGTTTCTGCATGAGAGCAAGAGTGAGTCTCCGGTCAGTTGGCCAAGGCGATCTTTTCCAACGGGTCCTACATGCATGCTCCGAACTTTGACCAACAGTTCGTCTGGCAGTTTCTTTGACAGCAGGCTGGGGGATATATACTGGCACCATCACTACCAGCCGAAGCCCAAGACCAACTTGGAGCGATATATATCGTATCTGCTGTTTTGTTTGGCGTGGATCTGCACCAAAGAAGACCAGTTTCTGCGCTATTTGCCAAATTCCTGCAATGCATTTGTCCTGTCTCTGTTCTTCTAGATATCTAATCACTCCCGATAATGCCACTAGAAAATCCGCGGGAAACGAGAACTGTAGCTGGGTGTAAGCAAAAACAATATTATCTCAACAGTCTGAGAGTTTTCCCTTGTTGATGGAAGATTGTATATTTAGCAGGCTTTCGGGAATCCCCTCAGGGAAGCTTTCGCAGCTGATGTGTATGTTACATTCCCAGAACAATTGGAATTCTGCAAAATGTAATGTCCGAGGAGAAAGTAATCGTTCTTGAAATGCCCATCCACGTTTTGCCAGTACACTGTTATGTATTGACTCAAATACTATATATTCTGGTATCACTTCAAAATCCTGGTACCTAAATTCATCTTTTATCATTTTGGCTTTGGCTTTGGCTTGGACTCTAAGACCTCTCAATCTGCTTTGACTAAGAAAGCAGCCTTCACTTCCATTTTTGGCACAGGATGCAGCGATATTGAAATACGAATTTCCGTAAACCTCGCTCATCTTTACGGATTCTTTTCTCCAATCTTCAGGATCGTCTTGAATGATGTATTGCGAATCAATCCATAGATGTGTTGTTCCCAAATGCGTTGATATGAGAATTGCGTCCCGAAAAGTCTTCGGCAGCGATTCTTGATTGATTCCTTGTTGAAAACTATCAAGTAAGGCATTGGTGAGCTTAAACGCGACGCCGTCCGGGCCCCAGCAATGGCTCAAAGTTGCATATTTGATATTCTGCGGAAGATGACTTGATTGACAAAGTCGTATACTCCCTGTTTGGATATCCAGTAATCTTGTTGGTAATTTGACATTTCCACTTGGCTTCTGGCACATCTGATGCTCCCTATCGCACGTTTCAAGAAAATGTAGTGCCTGATCTATGGGAAGATCTGGGAGAGCTTCATGGTTGCATGAGCCTATCTATATTAGACTTCAGATTCACAGTATCCAAGAAACAAGTTTTCGGAAAAGAAAATGACTTGAACTTACTAATAGCATAGAAACTCAACTTCGCAGATTGCCCGCAAGTATTATCTTGTAAAATTTGTATAGTTTCCAGCTGGAGCAATTCCTTTCCTGGCACACTAATCAAAGTTCGTATAAGGACATCCTCATCATCTGACGCCCTGTCCCAGAATAATTCTGTTCTCTGACACAACCGGCAACCTGCTTTCGAAGCATGTGTCAGCAGTTGTCTGGTACTCCAGAGTCCAAGTTCTATTTCAAAAGCCCACCATCTTCGATGATCAAAGGGAATTTTATCGAAGATAAAGCGCAAATGATCAAGCATCCATCGACACATAACGCAAAGTCCATCGACGACGTCGGCGTCTGTACCTAAGTTTCGGACTGGTTCAATGCGTGGTATCTGTTTGCCCCAACGGTTCTTCCCATTATCACTCACGACTATTGAAGCTGGGTCGCTCACAGCCTGAGTTGTCTTGAGCCAAGGTATCCACGAGTACTGGCCTTGTTTATGTTCTTCAATTACTGAACTCTGAGCCAGCTCTCGTCCAGTTATCAGCTCCTCACTCATTGCATCGTCCTCCGGGGCAGAAGCCGAGTCGTCGCCATTGTCGGATATTGTGGCTCCATCATGTTCCTGACGCACTAAACCAGAATTCTCTTCTTGACTGCGATCCCCAGGAACAGGAACCGACGTCACAGAATCCATGTTCGCCGTACAAGAGATAGAACAATTTAGTTCGAGGTTCCTGAAATGTACGCTTTCAAGCTGATTATACCCGGTCGGCTAATACATAAATGAATCAGCTTGTTGCCTGCATGGTTACATCAGAGTGGTCGCAGTCACCCAATAACATCCCAACACCTGCCTAATCTAATATTTCATCCATGCATTTACTGGGAATAAATAAGCATGTGCCAATAATTCTCTCAGGGCTGTCGACGAGGCAGAAAAGCTTCTCTAAACGGTTTCCGTATTTTGGTCCTTAATGAATTAGTAGAATTAGTATATGTTTAATCACGGGTCTGTAACTACTTGAGATAAGAAAGTAGATCGATTGTTTTCCTTACTATGTTAGAACTACTATTTTACGAATCGTATGAAATACCTAGAGATCTGGAAATATCGGTCTAGAAAGCTTGACATAACTGAGAACTTGACATGGTGGTATGCGAACACCTCTAAGTTTCTATATCTTGATAGAAATCTTTCAAAAGAAAAACGCATTCACCATATCATTTAGGGACGATAGCTTAATACCTGAAATTCAGTCACACAGGTGGGTATAATCCCAGTAGCATTTGTGAAAATCAGGGTTAATCTTCAGAAGCAGAATTCTATACAGCCTCGTGGCGCTGCCGTCTTCGAGATGTGCGAAGTAGCGTATGTGGTCCCGTTCTCCTTAAGAAACTCGGTTATCATCCTCAAGTAACCAACAAATTCGCTCAAGCCAATCCGCGCTACAGCAGATGAAGACCGCTACCGTAAGTTCCCAAACAGGAAATAATATATTCCTCTGAAGTTGGGACAAGGTATATCTGCAGGTTCGCAAAGCCGGACCTCACAATTAGGGAGTTCGGTGAGGAACAAGGCTGCATATACTCGTAATAACTCCCCATTCTGCAGCAAGGCTTTCTTGATCTGTATCTTACTGTAAGCAGAACACCCGGCACCCGGTCTCCCCCGCAGTTGGCTGATAAATAGTGATCACACTTCGGAAAGTGATACCAAATACCCACAGTAAGAGACATGGTCGTTACTCTGTACACACCTCTCTTAGAATAAAATTATCCCAAAAACGCCGCACAACTAAAATAGTTATATAAAGAGCTTGAATAATTGTTAACTCTTACTTTTCACTGACCTAGGCATCCTAAGACAATTATCTTGCTTGTACTACAAGATTAGTATAATAGAGTTTTATATAGTGTGTACAGAGTAACGACCAAGTATCTTATATAGGTAACTATAAAAGAAAAGAAAAGAAACGTCTTCTACTTTACTGTCCTTGATATCGTTGGGATAAGAGTCGACGCATTTATAACCTACACCTATATTTCCAGCTCGCGAAAATGTTGGAAGAGGGAGAAAGTTCGAAAAGAATGAGAAGAACAGTTCCGGGCTTTTGAACCTGATAGATTCAGATCGCGTATGTTGCGGATAGATGAAAATAAATCGATGGGAAAAAAGTAACGAACGCATTGTTTACTTTACAGCCCTTTTTGAGAGAGATGGAGAGGAGTTCTATACTCCACACTAACCAACTCGCTAAAAATCACGCTTCGGCTTCTCCGCACGTGAAAACCTTGTGATCTCCCTCCTCTCCAAAACCTCACTGGGCAAAACAACATTATAACACTCGCACATCCAAGAAGAATCGGAAAAAGTCTAGATCCTCGGGAAATAAAACCAACCCCCAGAAACCCTAACAACAAGGCTATGCAATACAAAACCAAGGCAACTACTACCTCATTCGGTTCGAGACATTCCATCTCGCTCGCTGTGACTCTATGAGTGATTTTCCCTACCGCAATCCAATAAGAAGTCGAGGGGCCCCCGCATAAAACGGCTGTGCTGTGCATACCTACCTACATTAGATAAGATGCAAGCCACTCACTTACTTACTCACCTGATTACTCCTTGCTTACCTACTTACTTACTCACATCCCTTCCTCCCCCACAAAACCCAGAAGCACCAACATCCAAATCTCCAAACTTTCATCAAGTATTTACAAACTTCCAGATATCAAAGGTATACCCCTCATCTAACAACAACAAAAGCACACAAATCCTAACGATCTCGCTATCACAGTCTATAACTAAAATCCCTCACCATGCCATCCATCAACGAGCAACCCACCCAAGTCACCGAACAAATGACGATCGAAACTCCCACCATTGAGACGGCCCAACCAGTAAGTTCCCCTTCCTATCCATCCATCTCATCAAACCTTCAACAAACAAACAAAACAAGTAAACAAACCATCTAATACCCTCAGATCGCCACCCCAGGAATGACCAGCGAAGTCTCCATGCGCGGAGGTGAAGAAGCAGGCTGCGACTGCTGCTGCTGCGGCTGCGAAGAATCATGCTGCTAAACCCCTGGCCTTCCTCGGACTCAAATTCCTCCAGACGAAAAACACTCCGTCAATCACTTCGATCCCATGATAGCAAACGGATACGGTAAATGGGATGGAGGGGGATAGAATGGGTGTTCTCATCGATGGGAGGAATCCATGAGTTGTAATTTGCTGCACTTGATTACTAGGTGGTGCTTGATGGAGATATTGATGGATACGAGGGGATGTAGCTATTCTACAATCTAACAATCGAATGAATAAACAATCGTTCAATCTATTCTATCATCGCCTACCTAGCCTAACCTATCCTACTTCCATCCAGTGACACCCGAGAACCCTCCATTTCATCCCATATCCCCCACAAACACAAACACAACCAAGCTTTCCCCCATCCCTTGGTCCCTTGGCATACCCAAATCCCACGCATATAACTGGATAGATCCACCTCCATCTCATCAGATTCCCTTGGCAGGGTCCGCTCCCGTCTTGGTAGAAAAGCTTGTCTATGAGCCAAGAGATGCCATGGCGATCTGATGTAACGTCTTTCTTTTTTTCGTGTACCTCCGTATCCCGTCTTCAATCAAATTCAATCCAATCCAATTCAATCAAGTTCACTCTTTAATTCGCACACCTCGAATCCTTCCCAGATTCCTTCACCGACTTTCTGAGGTATTCCCGGATGTGTGTATCCGGACAGATCTGACACACACCACAACCCACACGGTCTTCTCCGAGTGGCTGGGCTGGCGTGGTGCGAACTCCATGATTGTACTCGGATCACGTAACCGAATTGACAGTAGTTGATCCATCCCATCACATCGGGACGAACTAGGGCTCTTAGTGAGGATCCAGACCTGATTCTCACAAAAGCCATCCAGCAACGACGGGATCGATAAGGTTTGAAAGATTCGAATTTCGTTTTCCATCCGCCATTCCAGTCTCAGTATCCATCCTGATTCCTTAACGTTCATCACTTAAATCCCCACTCGCTCATGCGCTCGGCTACGCTAGAGTACATACACGTCTAGCCCAAGCCCGGCATCAGGACGTACAACGTATATACAAACAAACAAAACAAAGCAAACAAACTCCCACCTCCCTTGCCGAGAACGCCTTGTATCTCAAAAGAAAGATGAAAAATTGAAAAATTGAAATAACCGCTGGCGAGGAGGGTTATCTCCACCTTCTCACTTCGACGCATGAATTTTCATTCCGCCCTGCTCTGCCAAACAAACGCCAAACAGAATGCATATGCAACTTCCAAGTACTAAGATACACTTCTGCTTCCCGATTCCTTCTCCCTCTCTTCTCGATACCACTTCATTCCTTCGTTCATCTGTTCTCGAACTCTTCTTGCCCGCTCGAAAAGAGCATCATCATCATCATCGTGGAGAGACCTCTTTAGTTGGGATCTCTCGTCGTTCTGCATTACAGCCTGAGCCCTCCTCTTCAAGGCTTGTATGTCTTCATTCCCATCAATGCTCAGCCTAAAATCCTGGTCCATTGCTATCTTGGATGGGACACTCCGTGCAATTGATGATACCCTTGAACGTGGCGGTGTTGTCACCTGGTTGAGAGGCCCATCATATGATCGCTTCTGGTGAAGCATGTTGTGGGCCACTGATGTCGCCAGTGGTGTACCATCACTAAGCGTCGCAATCCCTCTTGCCTTCAATCGGAAGTAGTCGGTCTGTACACCACTGACTTGTCGTCTGGTCTCATCCTTTATGTCGTATTTGTCCATCAAATGTATCCTAGATCCACCGGTCAAATAGGTAGGGTCAGATAGGATAGAACGTCGTAGTGGATTGTCTGATCCCCCTCGTTTATGGTGACTTGAGCTTGAGCTGGGTCTCGCGGCTTTATTTGACCGATGTCGCTTTGTGCCATTTACTTTTACCTCTTTCCGCACAATTGCCTGGAGCTGTTTGTTTTGATCGTGAACGCCATCCAAAACACCAGTAGCACCCAAAAGGCTCTCCAGGCTTTCTCGCCGATGAGATCTAGCCGAAGCCCTGAAATCTTGGACGATATTCGTCGATTGTAATGTTTTTGATGCGCGTAAATTTTCGGCCATCGCCCGCCGAGCTTGACGAGCTTCCCTACCTCTACGTTTCATGCGCAGATTCTGAGCACCATTTCGCCACCGATTGAAGTACCTGGTAGCGAGCGATCGATATCTGAAAGCGTCCGCTTCTATTCTGTCCGATTTTTCCTGCTCAAGTGACTGTCGCTGAGCTTCTTCTTTGAGGTATACCTCGACAGTCCCCTTCAACAGATTCTCGACCGTGAACGACAAGAACTGATCAACAAGTCCATGCTCTCCAAGGACCATCCAGTTTGTTAGACCAGTAAGTTGTGCTTCACGGTCATATTTATGACGCTTTTTGATTTCGCTTGAGGAATTAGGAGTGGCTTGGAGGGTTCCAAGGCTGGGATTCGTAGTGAGATTTGGTATGCTGGGCACATTTGGCTGGAATGATCCATAAGGGGCCCCTGATGCTGGTACCTGAGCTGGTAGTGGAGCAGGCGCTGGAACTTTCGGGAACAAATCTTTGTTAGTCTGGTTTGGTGCAGAAAACGATCTTTGTCCTTCAATTTGAGACGAATTGATTGCAGGTTTCGAGACTGGGGGGATAGTAGACGCTGGAGGGACCCCGAATAATATAGGTGCCTTTGGGCTTGAGCCTAGTTGAGCGCTGGGGAGATTCGAACCGAAGACTGGAGGAGTAGAGTTAGTCCCCGTCGAAGGCGTGTCAGTTGCTGTTGACGGAAAGGTGAATGAGGAGGAGATGTTGGCCGTGGTAGCTGATTTATGGGATTCATTGCCGGACTTGATCGTGAGAGTCGATACGGATGGTGTTAATTCTGTTCGGCCATTTACGTTGGGACTCTGTACTTTGTCCAACGGATTGGAATATAGTGCTGAGGGTTTGGAAACGACAGTCTGTGGCACTTCTGGCACGGTTCCAGCTGGCGAAACTGGGGGTTTTGGTGGGAAAAAACCATTGAATGGCTTTTGTGACGGGATTCCGTTCAGGATCGAGGTTGAAGGAGTAGCAATATCCACCTTTGGGGGATCGGTTGGAGGACTTGAAGAAAAGCTTGGAGGTTGCTTTCCAATAATTGGGGTGTCTGCAATCGGGGGGAGCATTGGTGCCGTGGTTTCAGTCTTGTCGTTACTTACGAACAAACTTTCCTCTTCTTCTTGAGTAGCTTGCTCTTCCAGAGTTTCATCAAAAACATTATTGTTGATAGCTTCTGGTAAGGAGTAATTACCACGCTTATGCTCAACAAGCTTATATGAGTGGGCCTGCTTCAAAGGCGGGAAAGGATCCTTTATTCCTTCGTCTGACTCAAAAGACAAGACATCCTCTCCATCAACGTGATCAAACCTCAGACCATATGCCTCACCAAAAACTATAATGTCATCCTCCTCATCAAACCTAAGAAAAGCATTCAGTTTTGCCAATGTCCAATCTTTGGTCTGATCTCGCTGCTTACGATATGAAGCGAGTATCGTTTTCAGTATAGATTTTCGGACAGAGTTGAAATGAATTTCTGCAAAACAGGCCATGGTGTAAGAAACTTGCTTGTCCTCAAGAATGGTGAAGAACTTGGCGTAGAAGTTTTGCGCGATGTCGGTAGGCGTTTGAGGAGTAAGAGGGCCGCGTGCATCCCAAATATTTTGTATTGCTTCAATCAGGCTTAGGGCGGTCTGTATCTCGTCCGATTCCCTGAATAATTTGAAGCCCCAATCCTGCACAGTTTGTAACATCCCTGGATGCCTACAGTTGAAAAGAGCATAGTAAGCTCTAAATTCGCTCTCATTCTCACAAGTAATATTCTGGGCCTTGCAGTCATCGTAAGAGTGTATCAGAGAAAGTAGAGCTTTTGACAATTGTTCCACCTCTTGCTGCTCCGAAAATTCCTCCGCTGGAGACACCCCATCTTTCGACATTCGATGCAGTGATATGACATGAAATCGGGCGATACGTTCCAGGCAATATACTTGATCAAGCATTTCGGCAGAATCCATCGACGATTGAAAAACAAAATCCCGACGGATCGCCCGAGTGCGATCCCAGAGAAAGTGATGGACATTTGGAAGGTTATTTTCATCATCACCCAGAACAGAATTCAAGAGGTAATCCAGGGTTCTTCTCAGTGCTCCAGGGGATCTCACGTCCATCGGTAAAGGCGCGTCCTGCCCGGCAGCTGATCTTGCCAGTGCCTTCACCATCTTATAAGGTGCAACGACTGATGATCCATCTGGCCCAATTTCCGTCTCGGCTGACTTGTAGTCGCGTTCGTAAATTCGGGTCGCTTTTTCGAAATCTGGGCACATCTCTTCGCATATTCCTTTAAAGTCAATTGCTTCGCTCAGTTTCTTGGGTTTATCGGGATCATCGAGTAAGCCAGCCTTAATTAAACTTACGCGAACTTCGCTTCTGTATGATTTTGAAGCTTTCCAATATGTCTCAATCGCTGGTTTGAATTTCGGATCCCCAGGGCTAGGTGTAGGCCACTTCGGCGCCGTTATACGGTCTTTTCTGATGGTTTGATATATTTCCTTCGCCAAAGCACTGCTATCGATGTTCGTGCTGGCCGAAGGTGTCGCCTGAGCTGGAGGATTTGAGAAGAGGGCTTTTGAAGTCTGGCCATTTGTGACTGGCTTATTGAAAGCATTCTTGGGTGTGTACGGGGACGCAAAGCGGGTTCCAAATCCCGCCGACGTAACATTTTGAGATGGAGCTGGAATAGAAGGAGATGCTGTAGGTGCTCCAAAGGAATTGAAAGGTGGATTTTGGGTCGGTTTGGAGTCTGTACTTGGAAATCCATTGCTCTTAGCGCCAAATGTCGAGGAAGTTACTGGAGCTGCCCCAAATACGCCTCCAGCTGGTTTCTCGAAGGGGTTGTTGGCTGGTTTCGTAGAAGGGCTCCCAAATAGGGTGGAGCTAGGCTTCCCAAATGGATTTGATGCTGTAGTCCCGGCAGAAGACGTGCCCATTGGCTTTCCAAATACATTCGCAGCGGGTGATGATATCGACGATGGCGCGCCAAAAGGATTATTAGGAGGAGTGCTGTTAGGAGTAGTCGAAGGTGCGCCGAATACACTTGTGTTGGGGGTCATGGTAGCTTGCGTAGGAGCTCCAAATGGGTTGTGTGCTCCAAAAGTATTGGCTGGCGCATCCTGCTTCGTAGCAAATGGGTTGACAGCGGAAGCCGCAGCAGAACCAAAGGGGGAGGCGACTGGTTTCTTCGCGGTGTCGAAGGGATTTCTTGGAGCTGCCACTGGTGCGCTGGCAAAGGGATTCATTTTCTTGTCGGTGGGAGGATCCGCAAATCGGACCTGCTTAGTGTTGTTGACCTGGGCTTTCCCGTCGCGCCCTCGTAGACTTCCTCCTCGTCCGTTCTGTGCTGATGAGCTCTGCCCTCTCAGTGCGCGTCTCGCAGCGTTCTCTCGTCGCTCGTTCTCGAAGGGGTTTTGGTCGGTGGAGTCGGTGGTGGGCGATGTGTCTATATGATGGTTGCTTGAGTAATTGTTTCTAAAACGAAAGTTGTTCCTAAGTGATGCAACTAAAAGTGAATTGGATTTGAAATTGGGAGCTGGGCGCGCATTACGCGGGCGCCGTTGAATGGGGGAATCATGGTGGGAAGCATGTCTTGTGGACTTACTGGAGCTTGAAGCTCCTCGACTCGTTGACCCGCGACCTCTTCCTCGTGAACGATTTTGTGGATGGCCTCGCGCGCCGCGAGTACTACTGCCGTGGAGCAGCATCGTTCTTGTTGTTGATCATGAGGAAAAAAGTCTGCAGAATACGAGTGGAGGAGGCGGTTGGGATATGCTTTCTTTCGCAAAACAAACTCGGCAGCTACGCTCCCTATTGTCATATACGATTCACCTCTTTGTTCCCTCTCAATACCTACCTCTTGCACGCGGAATTCTACGCTAACCGTTTTGGGTCGGGTTTTGTGGGGCATCACCCAAGGTGTCATTGGTGTCATTGACGGGAAGCGAGGAAGCGAGGAAGCTCGAAGTTTCCCCAAGACAATGCCTTAATCAAAGTGGCAGAGGAAACTTCTAGCTTCTATTGTTCGAAAGTCCTCGAACAATGCCATGCATTTAATGATTCGAAGATTCTGGAATATTTTAGACAATCATTCTAAACTCAGCATCATCTATTCAACTTCCTTAGTCGGAAAAATTAACTCAATATTCGCCAAAGCACAGAACAGTATATGCAATCGGTCTTGATATCTGGAGAATCGCTTCAATTGTGCTAGAGAGACAAAACAACCAAAGCTAGTTCAACTCATATGGATTCTATTCAGTATTTCCTAGCATATTCTGCAGGTTTACGATGCTCATGGTTGAACAACTCTTGCCACATAGCACACGTTCATGCTCAAATCAATATGTACCAAATCCTCCAGCAATATGCGCCATCTTAGACTCCATTTTGTTTACCAATCCTGCCCAACGCCAATATCATGAAAATCTCTTGCTAAATACCCAAATCTCAGTTTCGAGTACGAATGATCGCTGGGCCCAAGCCCCTTCTCACTTCATCAAGTTGTTCCATGCCACTTTGATATTTTCCTTTTTTGACATGCTTTTTCCCACTCATGGTATAATTACCAAGGAAATCATCCATGATATTGTCAAAGTCCCCTCTGATTGGCCCCTGTACACTCGACGCTACAGATGTTGCTGCCGAGACAGAACCATCGTCGTCCATATCCTCCATGTCCTCATTGTACCTTTCTTCAAGCTTTTCAAACCGAGCATCCAACGTTGTCATGCCCTCAGTTCGAAACATTGAAGACGAGGTCATTGAGTACGTAGATGGATTTGTCAAGGCACCCTTTCTCTTCTTCTTTCTGCCACCATTCGTGGTTGTCGTCATCATTGATGATTGAATGTCCGATTGTGAAGGAGCGACTGGTGCCTTAGTCTTCTGATCTTTTTTGAATTTGCTGAAATTTGCCATCCAGTCGCCATCTCCATGATCTTCACGCTCATCGTTCAAGAGGTCTTCAGTTGGTACAGGACCATTTTTGTATTCTTTGGAGGGCTTTGCTGTGTCGTCTGATTCCCAGCCTTCGTCTTCATCATCCCAAGCACCTTGCTCAAACTCATCCTCTTCTATTTCCTCGCCGTCCTTCGCTAACTGACCAAATATTTCGTCGTCTTCATCAACGTAAGCATCGTCCTCGAGGGCCTCAAGTACTTCTCGCAATCTAGGATCCATATCCGGTTGAAAACCTGCCAGCGCATCAGGCACGTCTTGCTGAGCCTGGTAGGTGACCTTGCGCAGATTCTTCGAGGGTAATATTTCCTCGTCCAATACTGCGCCGCTTTTCTCCTCTAAACTGGCATCTCTAAGTGCATCCTCCAAGGTCTGCTTTCCCTTTCCTTTGTTTTTTGGCGCGGGTGCTTCGACAAAATATGCTTCTCCTCCTGATGCAGAACCCAAATCTCGCATGTGCTGCATATAATCATACTCGGTATCGTCGTAGTAGACGCCATGATTGGCGGCCTCGCCTTCGTTATCTCGAATCTTGTAGACATCGGAGCCGAGTTCAGACGCCAGGTCGTCGAGTTGTTTGACCTTACTGGCGTTTGGGAGGGGCGTAGGGTTCAGAACCATAGAAGATGCAGATTCATCATGGATTAAAGGGTCGTTTTGAGGACGATGAACGAGTGTAAAATGAGTCGCAGTTTTTTTATCGATCCACGTCTTGCGCGCCATGATTGCGGTATTTGGATGAAGTACGGAGTATTAAACTATATCGTGGTTGGGAAGGGAAGAAAAAGGTTTCAATGGAAGAGCGCCGCAAGTGTGGAATTTAGACGTGGGGTCGCTTCGCCGTGACGAGTTTGCGCCCGGCTTTTTCTAATCATGGAGGGGCAAATGATAACCAATCTTCCCACCTCCCCTTCATCCTCCCACAGTACAACAACCTCTACAAAACACCACAAATACAAATTTCTGGACAACTTTTATTGTTCCTAGAAACTTACAACGTACGAAAATACTCGGCTACCACTGCCAAAATGGTTCTCGCAAAGTCGAAAAATGCCGTGGGACTGGGCAACAGGTACGTGCCGTCATTGATTTGTTCTTTTGTCAGCATCGACGTACTCACAAATCGCAGTTTGATGAACGATAGATTCGGAAAGGGAAAAGGAGCGGATCGCAAAAAGGTCACATCCGCCGGAATCCACAGAATCAATCATGCGACAGGAGAAACAGTTAGCGCACCGTGTAAAATCCGTACATTACTATGATGTGCTAACCAGAAACAGTATGTCACCAACGAAAAGAAGGAGGCGAGTTGGGTCAAGATGCGATCGGTTACGGAGCAAGCTGCTCTCGATGAATTTTTGTCCACGGCAGAGTTGGCTGGCACCGATTTCACGGCCGAAAAGATGAACAATGTCAAAATTATACATACCGACCAAAAGAACCCATATTTATTATCCGCCGCAGAAGAGAGGGCCGCAGTAGGAAAGCAAAGATATCACAGGGATAGGTTAACGGTACCCCGGAGACCACATTGGGATTCAACGACAACTCCTGAACAACTGGATCGTATGGAAAGAGATAGTCTGCTGGAGTGGAGACGAGGTTTGGCGGAGTTGCAAGAAAATAACGATCTACTGATGACGCCATTTGAAAGAAACTTGGAGGTATGGAGACAACTTTGGAGAGTCATTGAGAGGTCCGACTTGGTTGTTCAGATTGTCGACGCTCGAAACCCCTTACTATTTCGCTCCGAGGATTTGGAGAGATATGTAAAGGCGGTTGATTCTAGAAAAGAGAATCTGTTATTAGTCAACAAAGCAGACATGCTGACACTAGAGCAAAGGCAGGCATGGGCAAAACACTTCCAAGAGGCAAAGATTGCGTACAAGTTCTTTTCTGCAAGTCTTGCAAAAGAGATGAACGAAGCTCGAGATGAGGCCGAAGAAGAAGAGTCTGAAGAGGAGGAAGGGGAGGAGGCAGAAGCAGAGGCGTCTTCTTCAATAACAAAAGAAACGGAAAACTTGAAGCTTGAGGATCAAGCAGAGGAAGGCAAGGCTGCTGAGGACGAGGAAGAAGAAGAATCTGAGGACGAAAGCACCCGCATTTTGACCGTTGATGAGCTTGAGGCACTTTTCCTATTACACGCACCAGAATCAGAAGGTAATTTCACCAATATCATGCCATGTCTCACTCGCTAATACTTTACAGACGCAAACTCAGAGAATCCACGAAAAACACAAATTGGTCTTGTTGGATATCCCAACGTTGGAAAATCATCTACCATCAACGCCTTGATTGGTACCAAAAAGGTGTCCGTGTCATCTACTCCTGGTAAGACGAAACATTTTCAAACAATTCATCTTAGCGACAAGGTCTTGTTATGCGATTGCCCGGGTCTCGTGTTCCCGAACTTCGCCACGACGAAAGCTGAGTTGGTATGTAACGGAATTCTTCCCATCGACCAGCTGAGAGAGTTCACTGGACCAGCAGGGCTTGTGGCAAAGCGAATCCCACAGGCCTTCTTGGAAGCCATCTACGGAATTAAGATCTATACACGTCCCTTGGAGGAAGGTGGTACTGGTGTGGCAACAGCTGAGGAGATTCTCATGGCATATGCTAAAGCAAGAGGTTTCAAGAGAACTGGTCAAGGTCAACCTGATGAGTCAAGAGCCGCAAGATATATCTTGAAAGATTACGTTAATGGCAAACTTTTGTTCTGTGCACCACCCCCAGGCGATTACGATCCTCTGGAATTCAATCGCGAGCTTTATGACGAAGGTCACTTGCCCGAGAAGAGACGCCTCAAGCTAGCAGCTATGGAAGCTATGGACAACGAAGGGATGTCCGCTGCCGATTCGGATGTAGTCTCTTTTCCGGAAGGCCCAAAGACTAAAAAACTCGATGGTGCATTTTTTGGTCTCGGACAGGGTTCTAGGGGACATTTCAAAATGCCTTTCGCACACAAGTACACCGAGCAAGGTACGGCAAGTGGTAAACAATTGTCAGGCCGCAAGCAAAATACGATGTTAGCGCTGGAAAAAGACGTTGATCCCAGTGATGTGAAAATGTTGACGAGTAAGAAGCACTTCAAAGGGGGGTCCAAAGGCAACGGGAAGCGGAGGGCAGATTATTTCGCAGATTAAGGAGAGCTGCGTCGTGGTATTGGATGATGTTGGTGGCAGAAACAAAATGTTGGGCGGCTATGCTATGGGGGCATTTGCATGTCATGACGGGTCTCGGGCAGGGCTGGCTCTTCAAATATGGCGTTGTGTTGGTTGGTAAATGATATGCATGAATAAGGCTGCGATTTTCGGGTGACAGCAATTTTACGGTCTGTGAGATCACATAGGGATACGTTTATTGGTGATGTACAGTGCTTTCACTTTTGTAAATTTGTCCATTGGTTCCTCAGGTGTGATGTGATGGAAGGGCCCGTCATTCGCGACCCATCCCCTTTTTGACCCCAACACTTGGCGTTGATCGAAAAGCTGATTGGAGAGGTCAAGACGTCCATAGCATCTCCCCATTTTCGAAACTCCTCCAACACGGGGACTTCTCTGAACTCGTGATGAATGGATGACTTCGCCGCGGGGCAGAGTGAACAAATTACATGCTGTTCCTACCCAGTTCCTGGGATCGGAAGTCCAATGCTTCCTGCGCCCCCAACGGTCACATCACGGTGCTTCGGTATTTTATCCCTGTCCATCACTAAGAGACTTTTGCATTCAGCATATGAGGTTCTGTCAGAATCATGACACTCAGCCCATTCATCCAACAGGTACGAAGACGGGGGTGATATGGCGGGGTCCAAAGGATTCAACCACCTGCCATGAACAAGGTGGAATATGCGTGGTGGGGCTGAGATCTTCCCATCCAGCTGCCACGATTTGGGAGATATAAGAAGCTTTTGATATCCTGTTGCATAGTCTGAGTATTGCATTCTCGCATCATCGTTCTCTCATACTCTCAAGACATAAGACATCGCAAAAGATCCAAACGATTATTATCCCAAAAACCATTCCTTCTTCAGATATATCACAGAAACCCAACCCATATCCACAAGATGTACACCTCAATACCATTCGCCTCCCTCCTCCTAACAGCAACCCTCTCCCTCCCCACCATCCTCGCTCACCCCACCACAACACCCTCACCCACCCTCACACCCCGCTCCCAAACCTGCTCCATCTTCGTCCAACGCTGGAAATCCAACGGCTTCGACGTAGAGTACTTCTCCGCGCCTCTACTCCCCGACCACACAGGCGACAACCAACACGTCCTCTGGAACCAGGAGAACCTCTACCAAGACACTTCCGTCCCCGGGAGTCAACTTGCAGACTACACCCTGGGTGGCAAGGTGCTTCATATCACCAATGTTGCGAATCCTGTGGAGGGCGATCCGAAGGATGCGGGCAAGTTGAGCTTTGTGTATGGGGAGGTGAGGTGGGATAGTTTTTCGGGGGGGACACCGTGTTTTAGTATGCCTAGGCCGGTGGAGACGCCGGCGGGGTTTCATGCTGTGGCTTGTGAGTTTGCTTGTGATTTGTAGGTGGTTGGGGGATGTTTGAGGGAGAGGTGAGGGTTTGAGAGGAATGTGTCTTGGGGGCTGGTTATATGAAATTGGGTTTGGGGGGAGATTCTGAAGGTATGGGTATGGGTTATGTTTGATATTGCTACAAGTTGATATAAAAGAAGTCCAAATTCTAACATAAATTCTTTTATAATTCTGTCATGCGCTTTGGAATAGCGAGCATAGATCGTGAAGGTAACAGGTGTCTGGATATTTTTGATGTCAATTCTAATTTACAATCATGAAAAACTAGCATCAGAAGTTCAAAGATTTATGTGGCTTTTGCATTGCTTGTCATTTTTATATTTGTGGATATCTTCCAAGTACTAGGGTGTTTTCTAGTTCTAAATTCCTTCTCAGCCATAAAGCAAGTTTTTAGCTCGCTAGGTAAGAAATGCAAGCAACCTCGCAAGCACAACCCAATGATACACTCTCATAGCAGACGGAAAATGCAGTAATAAAGTATCCTTGTATTACAGCCGCCTGTATCACAGTCTTTCGTAACTTCTCTCATAACTCAGATTTGTTTCCATAATCTGGGATAACAAATATAATTAACCGAACATCCAAAAACCAACAAAGTAATTTTCCCAAGAGATTCCTGCTGTAATCACGTAGATACATCTATAAAGCAGAAGCCCAAAAGACCACATTCAAAAATCCACTGCAAATGTTTCAGTCCAAGGGAGACACATCTCTAACACATAACCCAGACCTCTGGCTTCGGCTAAATTCATAGAGCAAGTTCCATACTTCTAATACTCTGGATACACTGTTGTACAACATCAACTACGTAATATTATGTGTCCGGGATTTTTGTGAAAAATGTCAGCATGCAACTTTCGGCGAGGGGATGGCCTTGTGTTGATTACGTAGTTCTGATATGTAATGCTAGTGAAGCGGGGTTAAATGAGATGCTGTTTTTATTCTTCGTAGATCTTTGAAGGAGAGATATCAATTGTTTATATTATTCGATGATAATGATTCTCCGCTCATCGAAGTCAATACTGGGGATTATCCAGAAGAATCGGCATGACTTAGATATATATCCTGATTTCTTGAGCGTTTCATTGTGATATTTACGACCGTTTTCCCCACTTCACGCGGGACTTTTGAGGATATGGGTATGTTACCCTCAACTCGCAGCATTCCAGTTGCCCTACTTTTGCAACAAGAGAAGGTGAACCAAGACCTTTGAGGTAAGGCCCGATCAAGCTATGGAAGGAAGAAGGATTCTCATAGTAAATAATGCGTTGAAGTGGTTCTCAAACGTCGTCGTGAGGTTGTCAAACCGTGGTGATGCCGAGCCGTTGCCTCAAAATGAACCTCGGCTTGTGTGCCCTTGCCTACCGAGATAGTCGTGGAGAAGCTGGAGCTGAGCTCTCACGGCCAACGTCTATCACTCCACTCTTTATATCTCACAACAAATCCATCCCATTCTCAATTACTGTGCTTCACCGTCCTCAGCGTCCAAATAAAAGCAGTCAACTCTTTCAGCGATTCAGCAAGAAGCAACTAAACAGCAGCCATGTCGGACAAGATCCCCATCATCGTAAGTCGCCTCCACGCCCAATACCTACCTCTACAACGGCTAACAGAACATCAAAGGCAGCAAATAGAGTCGGCGACAAGGCAAAGAAAACCATCGATATCTTGAAGAAGTTTGTCGATGAAAGATGCATACCGTAAATACCTCCCTCGTTTCCCTCCAAAGCTTCAAGCATTAATGCAACAACCCGCAGAGCCGACGCCATTTACACAGCTCAACTCGGAGCAGGAACCGATAGATGGGAGCACCACTCCTCGGTTCTCGACGACCTCAAAGTCGAAGCGCAGAAGCTAGGACTATGGAACATGTTCCTGCCAAAAGGCCACTACAAAGAATCTCCCGGCTTTTCGAATCTCGAATATGGATTGATGGCAGAGATATTGGGAAAATCAAGAATTGCGTCTGAGGCTTGCAATTGCTCTGCTCCAGATACAGGAAATATGGAGGTGTTTGCCAGATATGGAAATGAGGCACAGAAGAAAGAGTGGTTGGTGCCATTGATGGAGGGGAAGATCCGGTCTGCGTTCTTGATGACGGAGCCAGAGGTTGCTTCTTCTGATGCTAAGAATATCCAATTGAGCATGGTGAAGGATGGCAACGATTGGGTATTGAATGGATCGGTAGGTCACCTTCTGCCTAGTTCAAGAGTAATGCTAACATGTACCAGAAATGGTGGTCTAGTGGAGCTGGTGACCCAAGATGCAAGATTTACATCGTTATGGGAAAGAGCTCCCCCAACCACAGTGATCCCTATAAGCAACAATCCGTTATTTTAGTTCCTGCTGGAACCAAGGGTGTTACGGTAGAAAGGATGCTTTCCGTTTACGGTTTTGACGATGCCCCTCACGGACATGGTCACATTACCTTCAAGAACGTTAGAGTACCAGCAAGTAACATGGTACTCGGCGAGGGACGCGGCTTTGAGATCATTCAAGGCCGTCTCGGTCCTGGACGTATCCACCACGCTATGCGCGCAATTGGTTCCGTAAGTATTCTAATAGCTTATATATCAAAACTAATTACTGACCATACACAGGCTGAGCGAGCAATCGATTGGATGTTAATGCGCATTAATGACCCAAAGAAGAAGCCATTCGGAAAACAACTGAGCTCTCATGGTGTCATACTCGAGTGGGTGGCCAAATCTCGTATCGAAGTCGATGCAGCCCGTCTAATTGTTTTGAACGCCGCCATCAAAATGGACGATTTCGGACCAAAAGGAGCACTAACAGAAATTGCCGAGGCCAAGGTTTTCGTTCCACAAATTGCGCTAGACATCATTGACCGAGCCGTTCAAGCGTTCGGTGGCGCCGGTGTTTCCCAAGATACTCCTTTGGCGGCTATGTGGGCCAACACTAGAACGCTTAGAATTGTCGATGGTCCTGACCAAGTTCACTTGCAACAAATGGGCAAGATGGAGAACAGAAGAGGACCGGAGGTGACCAAACTCATTCAGATGCAAGCCGAGACTTCAAAGAAGCTGTTTGCTCAATATAAGGTCACGGAGATACAACCTGGACCAAAGAAGTCAAAGTTGTAAACGGCGGTTTGTGCGAATAGTAGTTGAATTTGATGGAAGGGAAAAGCAATTCAACTGGTATCTAGAGGTCAAAATGAACGTGAATTTTTACCGTTTTCCAATTAATCAGATTCGGTAAATAATTACATCTCCTATCTCAACACAAACGATCTTACTCCTGGATATCATATACAACCAAACGCCAACAAAGATAAAACCACACAAACAAACAAACCCAACCCAACCCCCTTTAAAATTCAGTAAACTGACCAGGGGCCCATCCATACGAGCAGTCCTGACGCTCAATCTTGTAGTATCTGGTACAGAAACATCTGAAATGCCAGATTTTAAACTGTAAGAATCAGCATCAGCATCAGTATCAGTCTCTGTGCAACTTTTCATGAACCTATCTCATCCATCATATAACTAGCCCTGAATACAAGAGCGACGAGAGAAGAGGGAAGAGGGGGGGAAACTCACGTGTGTCAGATTGTGCCGAGTGGCAGTCGGCCAGCCGGGACAATACATAACCCTATGTCCACCACTTTCCGCACCAAAGTAATCTCTCTTCTCCATCTCTATCCTCGGTTCTTCTTTCCCTTCTCCTTCTCCTTTTCCTTCTCCTTCTGACGCGGTGACAACCTCGCTGGTCTCCTGCATCTCTGCACTCCGCTTCGTGATGGTAGCGAAGGAGGGTTTTGCTACGCGAGTTGGGGATTTGGATGAGGATGTGGTTGGAGACACGGACGCGTCGAAGTTTTGCAGGCGCGAGATCATGGAGTCCCAGTTATGTCGGGGGGAGGTGAGGGTGTAGAGGGATGAGGGGAAGGAGAGGGTGGGGGTTGAGGATGATGAGGATGATGAGGATGTTGAGGATGATGGTGAGGCTGGGGAGGGTTCGTCTCTGCGGTTTTGGGGGGCGAGGGTGGTTGTGGGTTCTGTGGACTGAGCTTGGGATGTAGGGAGTGTTGTTGGTTCGGTTGTGGTGCTGGTGCGGGTCGACATGCCAGACTCGTCGCTTGCTACGGCTTCGTGGATCTTTGTCCGGCTGAATCTGGGATCCCAGGGGGGATACCAGGGACGGAGAATAGGTTCCCAATCCCCTTCCCACCTCTTGGTTATGGTCTCTTCTGGCTGAGGACTTGAGGTCGTGGGTTTTGTGAATTGGGGCTGGGATGTAGGAAGTGTTGTTGGAGTGGTGCTGGTCTGGGTCGACATCTCAGACTCGTAGCTTGCAATGGATTTTAAAAGGTCATTCCATTCATCCCAGTCGAAACTGGGAACCCAGGGAAGGGGGATAGGGTGAGGATACCAGTTCTTTGTCGACCTCTTGGTTAGGGTCTCTACTGGTTGAGGACTTGCAGTTGCAGCTGGAATTGAGGTCGTTAGCGTGGCAGTGGTCTGGTTCGACATCTCAGACTCGTAGCTTGCAATGGAGTCTAAACGGTGATTCCATTCATCCCAGGGAAAAGGAATAGGGTGAGGAGGATACCAGTCCTTTGCCGACCTCTTGGCTAGGTTCTCTACTGGCTCAGGACTTGTAATTGCAGTTGCAGTCGCAGTAGAAGTTGAGATCGAGGGGGAAGCCGAACTCGAGGTGTGCCACCATCTATCCCAATCCCAATCCCAGCACCAAATACAGGGGTCAAATCTCCACGAATCACTTCTCTTTCTATCCCAAGCCTTCGCCCAATTCCGAAATTTCCACATCCTCTCCTTCTCGCCAGCATGACGAGACTGTTCTTTAGCCTTTTCAACCATCTTTTCGTGAGCTCCCTCGGTATCTTTTGGGGTTGCCGAGGGACTGGGGCTTGGCAGCGTAGCGAACGTTGTAAGCGGAGGGGTATTTGTTGGCTCTGCTGGACTCTCTGCTTCGGTCGTTTCGCTGGGTAAAGGGAGGACGGGTCCGGGGTTCCATGGGTTGAAGAAGGGTGAGAGGGTGGTGAGGGTGGTGGTTGGTGAGGTGGTTTGTTGGGTGCTCGCTAAGCTGGAGCTTGCGAGGGTGAGGAGGAGGGTGCGGGGGAGGTGCATTTTGGTGGTGTTTTGGTAGGGTGAAGATGAAATGTAGAGGGGAGTAAGAAGGAATGAATAAAGAATGAAGATAAAATAAAGAAGAGAGAAGGAATGTGATCGAAACCTTGGGACGGGTTGTTTTTATACTCACTCCTCTACTACTGAATCCCTAGATTTGCATGGCGCCAGACTAGAAATTTAGAAAACACCGGCTTAGACTTGTAGAAAAAAAGATGTAATATATATTTCCACAGCCCCAGTGTACTACGTGATGGGAAACTAGGAGAAAATCCCTAGTTCGATCTTCTAGCTAGCCAATACTCTACTCCCGAACCAGGGTAAAACAAAGATAGGAGTTTATCACTAACTTTAGACGTTTATTAGCGAGGGATATTATACTATAGTATCTCCTCAACTGCCTCCGGGAGTTTTCGGAATAGGGAATTACCTACCTAATACCCCGTTATTTTTCGGAGTAATAATTCATAACCAAAGCTAAGAAAGTTGTATACGTTAGTAAGCTAGCCTAAAAAAACCGCGGGCGCTTTAGGAGATACAGGATACAAGAGGCTGATTTCTTACTAGCGCGTAACGTATCGGAGTATTCCAAAATGAATAACTTGTAATGATAAGGTTTTTCTGTTATCATATAGACAGTGATAATATGAATGGCATAGCGTGAGTATTCAAAAGAAAACCAGCCTTACTTCGTCCCACCCTTTGCGGTAACGCGAATTGAGAATTCTGTTTCCGGGTATACGACGAAATTACCCACGGTTTGTTCAAACCCCACAGTCGAGTGGCTCTCGTGATCTGTATACATCTCGGCAGAATCCCTCTCTACTCCGTTAATGTTCCTGGCTTGAAAGAACATCGAAGCTAGTTCGCGGAGGGTAGTGAGTAATGGGACGACGACAACGAGAGTGTCGTCCTTCTCGGACTTGATTTCCACTCGGACTTTGTGGGCAGCCCTTTTGGTATCGTATTCCTGCTTCTGCCGAAGTGTGTCGGCCTTCAGCTGTGTAGATATGAGCGGGAGGCGTACTAGAGTAGGTCGCCTCCAGTTTCCATCATTTTCTGCTCCGATGGTATACGCGACAGCGCCGTAAGGTGTCTCATCCCACACACTCTCCCACATATTCTTCCACATGTTCCATGATCTAACATTGGGTCGGCTGAACAGATTTTTGAAGGTTGGGTGGGCACAGTGGAGTCCTAGAAAAGCCTCGTTAGAGAGCGTTTGCAAGGTCAATGTTTGATGAATTACCCCCTGGGTCGGGACGGTTCCTGGTTTCTGCTAACCCATATCCTGTGCTTTCCTCACATTCCCATCCTTCCAGGAGTTCGAGCGTAGTGCGATCCGCGTCCTGGCAAATTGCAACAACAAGCGAAACGGTTCGCGCGCTGGCAAATTTACGCAACGCGTCAAGAGAAACGTTATATTGCGTTCCATTGTCAGGGTATTCTCCAACATAGATTGCGAGATTCTGTACTTTTCCGGCATCTGTATCAAGGTCGCTTGAAAGGAAGGTGAAACCTTGGATTTCAGCATCCACAAAAACGGGCCCCAAGTCCAGAAACAACGTGTCCAAATCGTAGCTGAACCAGGTGGTGGGAGTCACGTAATTACTACCAAACGCCTTTGTGTATATTTGTCTCGCGACATGGTGTGATTCTTTGCAGATCAGAAATAGTGGCGGCGCGCTCTGGGATGCAAAGTGGTCATAATTCTCGGGTCCCTGGGTGATTTGTTGCTCTATTGGTTGGCTATCCATATCGAAAAACGCCATATAGTTCGGACCATCGACATCCGTTTGTGACCATACCCTGGAGCATTTATGGCTATGGCGGATTCGATCCAGGCATACTACACGGGGAAAGGCCGCTGCTTTCCAGATCTTACATCGAAGTTCACTTGGGAGCGAGGAAAAGAGAGGAAATAATGTGGCCTTGGAAGACATGGTTAAAGCTTCATGGGATTGGTGGGTGCTCGGGGAGTTGTTGGGATGAGATGAGGCCGATTTTTTCAGAGGTGAGTGGATTGCTGGAGGTTCAATGTTCAATACTAATTCGGGTCATTATATTAATATCTACTCACTGGAATATTGCTTACCGAGTACCTTCAGGTTGAATTGTGATTCTTGTGGGCTGTTGACTGTTGTTGACAAGGATACAATTACCATGGGATTCTGTCCTGCTTGGCCGGTTGCAGTATGTTATCTCCAGGACCACAGAACTGTGCCGTAAACGCCAACCAAACGCGTAAGCACATGATCTGGTGAGCCTATTTTAATTACCCAAGGCTGTCTCCAGCTTCCTCATCACCTCCTTAACTAGGAAGAGACGGCCGATTATCTCGCACCGATGCTCATCCGATGCAATGAATGTGGAGAGCCTCAATTGTCTTCCACACGGATGTTTCGCGATGGAGTCGTCGAGGCCTTTTTGTGGTTGACAGGATCCCGTATCAAGAAGTCGAGTCATAGTGGGGCAGTCACTGATTTCAGTGGCATGCTCCACGTTGCCCCTTTGTTGCTAAGGGGGCACCTGCCTTGTTTACTCGCACCTCATTTTTCCGACAAAACTGCTCCACCTCCCACCTGCAGCTTCTTTCCAACACCACCACTCGCACTCCGCATCCACAATTGCTAAACCTCAATCCGCAAACCACAAAAAAACAAACCAATCACTTCTTCGTAACACTCAATCCGATATGTCTTCCAACATTCTCGCCGATAAGGACATCAACGCCTCCACTACTGGAGCTGCGACAAACGCTAGTGGAAAGGTTGATGCGAACAACATGGACTACCATCGCCAGATGCTCCAAAACAAGCTTGATCAACAAGAGTATGCTATGCGCCCATCTCTTTGCATTGAAGCGCAAGCCTCTCTTTATGGTTCTTTTACTGACATTGTCTCCTCACAGTACCCAACAAACATACATCTCCCCCTCCGACACCATCATGAGTCCATGCACAGCCAAACTCAGCGCATACCGCAACAAGCAAGTCGGAAAGTAAGTAGCACACCACACCCCCTTCAATCCCCAAAAAACCAACAATTGTAACACAACCTCCAGAGCCAAGCCCAAATCCCTCTTCGCAAAGACCTCGGCCAAAAACCTCCAAGGCAACTCAGGCGGCCTCTTCGGGAAGCAAATCCCCAACGCCAACACAGAGAAACCCGTCGGCGGACAATAAGCCCTCGCATGCCCCTTCAAAACCACGTTGTGTGTAAACAACACCAACATTGTACCACTATAATGACCCTCTGATGTACCTTCGTCCTGCTCCCAGACCACGAACCCATCTTCACGACGCTTTCTTCTTCTCTACGACCAACAGCACCTTCACAAACACTCCACAAAACACAACAAAACACATCTTCACACGGCAGGGAATATCACTAAGGAATTTATTCGGTGGGGGTTCGGGTTGAGAAATGGATATTGGGGTATCCACGGTAGACTTCGCATTGCGAGTCGTGGGCAAATCCAACAAAAATTTGTTATGACTGGCATTGGGTAAATGGAGTTCTATCGGGGCTGAATATTGATTTTCTCTTTCTTTGGTGTGTTGGGGGTTTTTTTTTGATAGCTATGCCACATGCTATCGTCAATGGTCCTTCCCTTGCTTTGGACACGACTAGGGGAATTTGATGAATACTTTATGACTTTATTGTTGTGTTTTCGTAAAGTGAGGTTTTTCGTTGCCATGTAAACAGTTTCGCGGAAAGTGTAAAAGGTAAACAGGGAACTTCTATTCCCAGCCAGTAATTGGCTCGCTTGGGTATCACCCTAGGCAATCCCTTCTTTTCATCCAAACTTACTGTACCACACGTGCCCCATTCACCAAGCTCCTCCTCCCAAAGAAGTCTCAGTCAACTCTCTACGCAGAGTAGATGTAGTAACCCTAACTCTAACCCTCAGTCAACTCTCTACACAGAGTAGATGTAGTGCGTTCCTGATATGAACACTTTTGAAGTTGAAGCCATGATCATATACTGCTCAAATGGTTGCGAGACCTTGAGGTATAGCCACACATATACTGCTCCAATGACGGGAAACCTTGAGGTGGTTAGGATTGTAGAAGTAAAGAAAGCGTGTAAGGAAGGAAGTTAAGCAAAGGAAAAAAGGAGGGGAGGGGAGAAAGCTGTGACAAATACGTATTGAGTGACAGGTGGAAGAAAGTCACGTGCTCGATAGTATGGCATAGCTATCAAAGGTAGGTAATGGAGGAAATGAAAAAAGAGGGATGAAGGGAATGAAAAGAGAAGAGAAATAGTAGATAAAGTGTCATTCATTCTGATACCCCGTATTCAGCGACTAGCTCAGCTCAGCTCAGCTCACATCTCCATGAAGCGAGCGAAAGATTCCTTCGATAAGCGCCAGCAGAACTACCTAAGCCCGCCAATTCGAAATAATACTAACCACATCCTCATCCGCAACCATATGCCCCAATCCCACCCTCTGAGGCACATGCCTCGCACTCGCCCCCCACACGAGTGCATACTTAAACGTATCCTTCAGGGTGCGATGAATCTGATCACACACATCCTCGATCGTACTCTTACTCCTCACAATCAGGGCCTCATTAAAATCCGGATCCACACCCTTCCGCTTCGTATAGATCCTTATCAATCTAAGTTCCTGCCAGCACCGCTCGACGACATCTTTGATTCCCAAATCGAGCTCGCAGCTCATGACCACCGTGTGGGGTTCGCGTGCCAGCTTGTCAAGGAAGTCGAGGGATACCGAGTCGATTTTGTTGTAGATGTACAGACAGCGGATGTACTTTCGGTGGTCTTTCATGATGACGTCGATGAAGTCGTCGACCGTGACGTTTTCGTCGCGCACGAGGACTTCGCAGTTGAGGATCTTGTAGTCGCGGAGGATGTTGTAGACCATTTTCTGGTCGAGGTTTTTGGGGGGTGTTTGGAAGGTAATTTTCATGCCGCCGGCGGTTTTGGGTTTGAGGTAGATGTTTCTGTTCTTCGTTAGCTCGTCTCATCTTATTCCATTTCAAAATTCAAACTTTGGTCCTGAGCAAAAGAGTAACGAGGATAGGAAAGCAGAGAAGAAAAGAGAAGATACTAACGGCGGCTCCCGATTCAACCTAATCCCCACAGCCTCCAACTCCGCCTCAAGCAACTGCCTCTGCTCCGCCTTCTTCGTCGCATCCAAAATCATACAAATCATATCACTCGTCTTCGCCGCGCTAATCACCTGTCTCCCGCGTCCCTTGCCCTCACTCGCCCCCTCGATGATCCCGGGCAGATCCAGAATCTGGATCTCCGACCCGCCATACTCGAGCACCCCCGGGATGGCAGTCAACGTCGTGAACGAGTAAGCCGCAACCTCGGACTTGGTCTTGGTGATTTTGGACAGGAAGGTCGATTTGCCGACTGATGGGAAGCCTACTAGTGCGATGCGTGCGTCGCCTGATTTCGAGACGTCGAAGCCGGCGCCGCCGCTGGAACCGGAACCGGGGCCGGGTTCGAGGAGTTGTGCTCTGTATCGGGCGAGTTTTCTGGACGAGGGATGTGAGTTTGATGTGTAGGTGAAGAGGAGGGGATAGTGTGTCTGTTCTTCCACTGCGATGGATCTTTCCTCTTCGCTCACCCTATTTCGAGACGGCATTGGTGCCAAATCCCGCAATGAGCGCAGAGGAAAGATCCATCGTATAGGAAGAACGGAAAGACTATTATACAGGTACACACCCTTTGAGGAGTCCTAGATGATATTCTTGGGCAAAAAGTCAGCTGTGATCACGTGCCAGAAACGATAGACATCTTCTGCATACCGGTGGCCTTATTTTCTATATCCAAGTCAGTATTATGTGTCTCTCAAAGGGAAAATATCCAGAGCGCCGTGCTGGCATGTAAAACTCACTTTGGGTCCTCCGCATCTCATCCTCGATCCTGCGTCATTGTCAGTTTTCGTGTGTGTGCGCACTCTCCACGAACGAGGAAAAACTCACTCCTTGATCTTCTCCGTGATGTTCACCATCTTGGCGAAAATTTAGCTCTCACTACCTGACGTGTTTGGAAGAAAAGTCTTACGACGTTGGTTCATATAGAAATTCAAGTTCAGTGGAGTCTTGAAGTACCTACCTGACTGAAAATTAAGGTTTCCCGCGCTAAGTCTCATTAAGACATATATTCACTTGGGGCAAACCATCCCATTCACTAACAAATCATAATATCCTACAAACCCCAACCCAACCCGTAGCCAAACGCCCGAATTATGAACAGCATCAAGCATGAGCAGAAGTTACAGGTGGACCTGCAAGCCCGATTTTTCGGAATAATTCATCCATCGCGACCCATTGTCTCCCACACTTGTCCAAGTATTTCCCTACGACATCTTTCAAGGTACCAAATCTGACGCGATTATGTTCGGCAAGTGCCAGTACTCGTTCTAAAATTTGTTAGCATCATGTCAGTGTAATGAGAGGAGTTCGTGCTTACCCTTGTCGGTACCCTTGGCAGAGGTCTTCGCCTTCTCAACGTCAAAGAGAGATGAAAAGTACAAAAGTTGATTATACATCATTCGCTCACTATACTCATACCGCATCTTTCCATAGCAACCCTGACTGAGACCCTTTGGTCCCAGGCAGCGATGTCCATAGACGCTCATCTGTCTCGTGCGATTTCCACATGCTTGATCATCGCAAACTAACCAGCCCTCATAGTACCTGCTAGTCTGTTTTCGAATTTGATGCTCAAGCTGCGCGACGACAGAGATATTGCTCATGGTTTGCCCACATTGACAAGTGATACCGGCCTGTGAACACAACTCTGGGGTCTCGATCAAACCTTCAAAGTCGAAGTTTAGCTTGCATGCTCTGCACCGAAGCTCGAGTCTCGCCGCATCCATAAATCGTACAGAATCATCGATTTGACTTTCAAGAGAATGGATTTCGGTCTCGTTGCCACCGCCGGAAGCATTGTTGGTAACGCTGTACTTCCGCGCATCAAGGCCAAGGCATTCGGCCAGTCGGACAGTGTCTGTGCCGGAAATATTTGCACATAGACGCTCAACTGGTGGCAAGATCTGTTTGTACATATACCACTCCACATCTGGCTTAAGTCCAGAGTCCTTCTTAACCACATCTTGTAGTGAATAGGAGCGTTTTGCTGCATGTTCAGTAGATGAGGTACCATCACCTGTGACAATGTATGCTATCACATCATCCTTACGAACAACTTTCCCCCTGGCCAAGTCTCGCAATGCGACTTGAACTTGAGGCATGCTGTCCGCATTGGGGTAGTCTTTAGGACCTTTTCCAAGCTTAGTATAGATGGTGTACTTCCTGACCTGGACTTCCTCCTCGCGCATCTGTCTTGCTATCTCCCGTAGATAATCATGAATGCGTGTGATAACAACGTCGGACTCGTCTCCTGAGAGAATCGCATTCAGAAGCTGAGAAGACACCTCTTTGGAAAGGGCGCAGTATTCTCGACGCTTCATGTCTAGACCCTTGACTTCCATCTGTTCCACAAATTTGCCGTCGACCTGAACAAGATTTATTGCTGCATACTTCTTCTTGGCCTGTAGTAAAATTCTTCGGAAAACATTGTCGGTATCGATCTCGAGAAGTTTGTACCTCTCGTTGACAGCCTTCTTGAATTCATTTCCGACCTTTATCGCATCCTCGACGTTATCAACATTGGCATTAATCATAACCGAATCAGTATCTCCATAGATGACTTGGAGGGAATTGCTTTCGGCAAGATCTTTTGTACTTCTCAGAATTTCACGGCCCTTGTACGTCGTGAGCACGGCTAGGGGTCTGGCATAAAATCTGCTCTTAGTGTATCCAAGACAACCGTACATGGAATTAGCGGTGAGTTTGAGAGCAAGCTGCTTGATGTCCCATGTTGCTAATTGTTCAGCGGTGGCATTTTTGCTCTTCATCAAACTCTTGACTTGCTTTCTGCGGCTGACAAGAGTAGCAATAAGCTTAGGTAAAATCCCGAGATCTTGGTCTTCTGGGACCTCTGGTACCCTCTCTTCGTCGTCAGACTGCCATCTTGTCAGTATTGCCTCTTTCTTAAAACATGGGATGTGGCTCACAAGTTTCGTTCTGTCCACGGTCGTGAAGCAGATATTATACTCTTGAATGATACTTGGGTACAAAGAATTGAAATCCATGACCAAGACAAATTTGTCGTACAGTCCCTTCTCTGGCTCGAAAACAAGACCGCCTTTGTATTTGTCCTTCTTTTTGACATCACCTATGTCCTCCTCGGCGTTTTCCTCTTCTATTTGCTGGCGACCCTTGAACGCAGCTTTGTCGGGGCAGATGTATTTATTACGGTGAAACTCGTGCAGAAGAATGTACTCATTCCGTTCCGCTCGGGTACCAGTAAGTGTGCGTGCCCAGGAATTTCCAGCCAGATTGGTTAAAACCTTTGTGAGAGGTAGCAGCTGGACCTTGAGAGCCAATGCTGCAATATAGAACGTATCAGCTTCGCAATGGCTCACATAATCCATCAGACCGTTTTTGTCGGTTGCCCAAGACTTTAATGCTGCGTCGTTGTCAATTTCGAAGCGGGTTGTCCCAGGTAAGTAGATACCACACATTTCGCTAAGCGTCCATGTTGTGCATTTTGTCATAGTCGATTTACCTTGATCGCCAGCTAGATCACACAGGAGACGTCCAGAAAGCAACTGTCGCTCGGCAAAGAAATTTCCTCCCATCTTTCCCATCGATCGTGGCCATTCTTTACTTCTCATTCGGCCTATGCGTGAGAACTGAGGGGTCTTCTTTACTCGGAGACGATCCAGTAAAATGCTGAAATCCACGCCTTCGAGCTGATGACCAACGAGAACATCAGGGTCAATAGTTTGGAGCTTGGCAAGGAATAAACTCAACACCTGATGCTCTTCCTTGAACAACTTTATGTGTGGCGCTCGCTTTTGGACTTCACTCTCAAATTGAAGAGGAAAATTCGAAACTACGGGTCGCAAAAACGTGAAGGATTCACAAGGTAGCCTCTCCGGGGATGTTGTATCCGTGAGTGAAATGTTGTGATAGATGCGGCCACTGATAGCAAGAATTTCTTGCTTGTTCTCTTTGACATTTAGTGTAGTTCTTAATGCAATACTCATAAGGGTGAGCGGTGGCGCTTCCTCCTCGCTAAGGGGCGTAATTAACTTCGGTTCGTTGACTTGGGCTTCCAATTTACACCAAGAAGCGTTGGCTTGGGCTTTAAAGTCAGCGCCTTCGATTCGTAGCCAACAAGGTCCCATAATGTTCTTCCACAGAACGAATTGCTCGAACAGGGGGGTGTTGTGGCCAAACACACGCGAAAAGGTCTGCCCTGAAAGTTGTTCGGGTTGAAGTTGAGGCGCTACATATGTTAGTGTGTTAAGTGGAGACATACAAACCCAACTTACCGGCATATGGATATCGTAATTTGAGATACTCGCCTTCCTTAGGCACATCTGGCAATTCAAATGCATATTTTCTGGTGACAGGCTTGATTTTATGCATGCCGACCCTCATGTTACTCATCATTTCATCTACTTCCTGGTAAACGTCTTGCATACTGATTTCCTTGGTGGTATCGTGTTTGTTCTTTTGTCGGTATTCTCGAGGCAAGAAAAAGAGCGTTCGTAAAATATTATCAATCCTCACAAAGCAACTGACATAAGCTCCGGTTTTTTTGTTTTGAACTTTTCCAAAAAGACACAAATTGCCGTTGTTTTCTTTGTAATCTGTCCAGAACATCTTCAGGCTACCATCTTCCTCAATTGCATCATCAGAATCCAATTTCCCGAAGCTCGTAGTTTCGGATTGGCTGTTATTGACCACATTTAACTTTGATGTGACACTCGTCCAGGCTGATGCATCAATGCAGTCCGCGGACGCTCGAATTGGTGACGAACCAGCAGGCGTGGGATATGTCTCTGATTTGACGATTTTTGGTACTGGTCTTTTCCCGGACATGTTGACACTTGCGGTAACAATTCCATCGGCCTGAGCAACCTCCATCATATCATCATCCTCCTCCTCTGCCTTCACAGCGACTTGTTTACGCTCAACCGCCTTTGCTACTGGCGAAGATGGCAGAGGATCATCCAAGGGCATATCATCGTCGTCCATGTTCATCATGTAGTCACCATCATTGCCTTGATCTAGCTCCACAGGTGGAGTTGCTGCCCTAGTATCAAACGACTTTCTCTTTTTCGAGGCATGTTGATCAACGCCTGGGGAAAGTGCTCGGGTCCTCCGCTTATCCTGTACCTTTTTCGATCGACTCGAGTGTGTTGCCGCTCGTGGCACGTTGTTATCTACTTCACCAAGCAGGCCAGCCAGAAAATCGTCATCCTCCTTTGTTTTGACCGGCTGCCCAAACGATTAATACGTAGATCTGCATGGCAGACTGGGAGTCCGTACCTTTGCTTTTGGTTGAGCAGCTATCGGACCCTTGGTAAAGTAATTGCTGATGCCTTTATCCTTATTTTCTTTCCTTGCTTTCTCTTCTTCCCGTTTCTTTTTGGCTGTATGAGTGAGCTTGGTGGAAAGTAAAAGCAGAATTTCCATTACTCACCAGCCTTTCCAGCTTTGCCTTTCACTGGTAAGTCTTCCTCGCTTTGCGATCCATAGTTTGGCTCTCGATCCCATTCTTCGCGCCCATCATCGGCGTAGCCCTCGCCATTGTCGTCAATTACAAAATCATCACGATCGAGTCGTTTCCGGACCACTTTCTTGTATGCGTCCTCGTCGACTTCCTCATATAAATCCTCGGCGTCGTTAACTTCGTATTGGCGTTTTCCACCGGATGCTTTGAGTTCACGCAATTCGGCGAGCTTCGCTCGTGCTAGGGCTTGTTTCGACATGGTAGAGGATAATTGTTGTTCTCAGAAATGCATCACTATTGGAGTGTTTGGTGGGGGGGGTGCTGGTGCAAGAACTGGTTATTGCGGTGCGATGCGGTGCGGGACTTCAAAAGGAGTTAAAGTGCTGAACGCGATTCTAACGCGACGACGCGACTTGCATGGGTGCCAGGATGATTTGGAGTGAGTAAAAGCGGCAGCCAGCCGACGAAGACCCCACCTCGCTGTCAACGGAACCTGAGGCCTCCAGCTGTCGGGTTTTTGGTGGCTGTGGCTGTACTCGAAGCTGTGGCTGAATTCGTTGCCCGTGCGCAAGGCTGACTCCACGGACTTCCAATCCAGGTTCAGGGTGCCGATATCAGATTCGAGATTGCAAAAAAGTTGAGAAATATTGCGTACTCGAGTAGCTACAGGACTCAACAACAAAGTTCACAGTCCACCACCCACCCACCTACCTAGAATTCTCATCCCCCTCTACGCCACTATGACTGTGTTCAGTTGTAGTGCATGTATGGAACGCTGCCTACATGGCCTCATAGGAAATGCTTCCGCCACCCTTTCCACGCCATCCGTTCGGACCTCAGTTGTCACAACCACGACCTCAATCATAAGGAAAGATTACTTTGCCCGCAACTACAATACCTCGTCCTCTTCTTCAGCCAGTAGGCCGTCTAGGACGCCTCAATATGATTCCATTAGTTATTACGGCCAACCCCGACATGATAACGACGCCCCAAATGCAAAACCACACAAAGATGATAGGTTGCGGCCCTTCAAGATGACCCGGAAGGAATATCAGACTGAGAGGCGAATGGGAGACGTGTTATCAAAATATCCAGTATATGGGAGTGATCCATTGAAATTGGCAGAGTACATACGGAAAACCTTACAGAGAAACGACTTTGAGACTGCCCTTGCGGTAGTTCGCGCCGCGAGCAGAGGACTTACTTGCATAGTTAGCTGGAACCATTTAATTGACTGGCAGATGAGCAAAGGCAAAATGAAGGGTGCTTTGAAAACCTACAATGAGGTACGCAGTCTTAGTCAGTCTGTAACCACAATCTACACAATTATTGACTTTGCCGTAGATGAAAAAGAGAGGACAAGTCCCCGACGCGCATACTTTCACCATCATCATTACGGGCTGCACCCAACACCGTGACGTGAAAGCAGGTCTTGGGCAGGTCATGGCTATTTACCATTCCATGTTGCTAGACAACTCACCCGTCAAACCAAACACGATCCATCTGAATGCCATTTTGAAGATGTGTGCAAAAGCTGGGGACATGGATGCTATGTTTGGAGTAGTTGCGTCAATGCCTACAAGAGGCGTCACTGCGCCCAACAACCTTACACTGACCACTATTCTCAATGCTTTGCGGATGGACTGTATAAGTGATGCGAGAAATAGGTTCACACCAATGCAGAAAAGAGAATATACAAGACAGGCAATCATAAAGGGCCGCCACATCTGGATGGATATCACCAAAAGATGGAGACAGGGAGACATATGGATTGACGAGGAACTCGTGTGTTCCATGGGCCGCTTGATGCTCATGGGTGAAGAGCGAGATTGGGACGATATTCTCTCCTTAATCGAGCAATCGATGAATATCCCTCGCCAAATATCAAGGCTGGATACCACGGAACGTAGTAAAGTCCGTCCAGCCGACCAAGGACGTACGGAAAGAGTAGGAGAAGTACCCGCGGTATCAGTTGCTGCTTCAGGGAGTTCTTGGGAAACTTCGATCGAAGATATTGCTTCAAAAGACTCGCTTGAAGCGGAACCAGAGCAAGCACTAACGAACGTTGACAACTTCAAGCCCGTTCCTTTGCCTACACCACCAAGAGGTGTCCTCAGTGCCTACGCCAAACCTGGACGGAACTCACTATCCCTCGTCCTCGCCGCTTTGGACAAACTCTCCTTGAAAGGGATCGCTTATAGGTACTGGATCTTAATGGTGAGAGAAATCGGCGTTATACCCGATGCAGAAAACTACCACGCCTACCTACGAATCCTCCGAAAGGCTCGCGCAAGTACAGAGACACTCGAGCTCCTCCAGACCATGAACCGAACCGAGATGCGACACAGCACCTTCCGCATCGCAATCGCAGCCTGCGAACGCGACAAGAACAACTACCACGCCTTCTCCAACGCCGGAAAACTCCTGGATATCATGACCGACACCCTCCGCGTCCCCGACGTTCCAGTCTTAACCAGCTACCTCGCGACCGCCGTTTCCCCCAACACGCCAATGGCTTCTATCGATCACGGGAAGCGAATCCTCCGCGCCCTCGACCGTCTAGGACCCTCGATGCTCAACATCAAGTCCCTCCTCATCTACGGCGATGCCGACGTCCCCATGACCGAGGAAGAGCGCACCAACTTCCAAAGATCCGTCTTCCGCCTCGTCCGTGGCATGATAGCCGCCTACGACATCTGCATGAGCAGAGCCCTCGTCCCACGCAACAAGTACAGCGAGCTAACCGCTCAACGCGCCAAACTAGCCGCCTACGTAACCCGCTACAAAGCCAACAACGCCCTCAAGGACGCAACGCTGCCCAGCTATGAGGAACCGTCTGAAATCCGCACGCTCCCTGAGCACCTGATGCGGTACGTGGATTCCCATCATCAGTCCAAGTCCATGATCCTGGCGCAGAAAAATGATGAGACCTGGGCCAAGTTCGTGAGCGAGGTGGAGAATGAATATAAGTTATTCCAGGCGCTAAAGAAAACGAACAGTGTGCCAGAACATCCTCAGAAGAGCCCTATTGAGAGGCTTGCCGAGGAAGAGCGGATAGCCGCTCGTGAGGTATCTGAGAGCTTCAGGCTTGCTGCTCTGTAGATGTATAGAGGAGAAGAGATTCAGAGGTTCATGAGAAAACGATTTCACGGAACCATGTATAACATCCGTATGAAAGCCAACATAGAAGACGTTATTTTGTACGACCATACAACCATCATGTATCATATATATTAGGACCATCACAGCTCTACGCGAAGTGAGATGATAATGACCATGGTATTGCCATTCGTGCTAAGACTTATTCTTGTGTAGTAATAATAATGAAGAAACAGACAAAAAAGAACTGTATACAGTATTTGATGTTTCGACGACATCATTTCCTCCCATCCCACCATAAAGTGCACCCATAATGATAACAATACAATCCCCTCTCCTTCCGCTTTTCAACGAATCTCTACCGGTACTCCTTAAACCTTGTCCCACGATAACATACCCAGCACCCTATCAGCCATAAAGAGCATTATCTCTCATGATCCTCTCGTCTACCTCAGTCCCATCGGTTGCTCTTCCAATAGACGCGTATCTCTTCAAATGATCACCAAATGCCGAACTCTTCTCGGTATCCGCCTCGCTACTAACCGAGCTATCACTTCCCAAGAACGACGACACAGCACGCATCGACAATTTTCCAGGCTTGGAGCTTGGTCGATTTTCGTTTTCATTCATGGAAAGAGAAGAGTGGCGTGTCAAGCTTTGCGAGACCTTATGGCGAACGACCGTTTGACTGCGAGCGAGTGTTGGGCTTGTGGGCCTGCTCGTTTTTTGGCAAGCAGCTTGGACGCTATAGTTCTGAAAGGCGTCGACAAGAACGCTCACTTTGCTTTGGTCGCTCTTGGAACATTGTCTGGTACGCGTTCCAGAGTTGAGCTCCTCCAAGGGGATTTCCCGAGGACCTTTGGGTCTTACCCTCATAGGATCAAACGCCCCAAATCTCAAGTTACCACGAGCATTCTCCTGCCCCGCATTCTCATCGCCGGTATTGCTGCTCCCGCTTTCGGTGTTTCTCCTCAATTGGTCTCCAAAGGAGGAAAATTTGAACCCAGATGCATAGGAGAAGCCTGATGTGGTTCTCGTGCCCTCCTTTGCTTGTAAATTGATGATCATCTCGTCTATCCTGCTGCCAAGTCTTTGTTGAATCTCCACGTTCTTTTGTTGATCGCCCTTGAGTCGAAGCGGGAGTACTCTCTCTGCTTCTCCAAACAGCGGCGGTAGGCATTGTGATAGTGTGGTGTGGTCCTTTTTAGTTTCTGCACATGACGGTGCTGTGTGAGGGTCAGAACGTACGCCGGTCTGGCGCTTTTCTCGCTCGTAGCTCACATCTGATATGCTATTCAGCATTGTGTCTCCAGTTTTTCTGGATGTTACCTCTTCAATGGCCTCTTGTGATTGAGGGGGCAAATCCGTGACATGAATCCCATCATCCTTTGACTCGAGAGTCTTCTCCTCATCAAGCACTTTGGCGCTCGCATGGTCTTCCACCGCAGAGCCTGAGAGGGAGCCACAGCTACCACTGTACTCGGTGGATACCCTTCTGCGAGTTTGTGGATCTTTGTATCCCATTTCGAGGTCGAACCATGTTTTGAATGACTCTGAGGTCTTAATCATTCCTGGCATATCATGGCCACTTGAGTCTCTGCTAGGATGTGTAGCTTTGTACTCTTTCGCTAAGTCAAACCATGTCTTATTGGATTCTGGACCGTTATTACAATGAGGCTTCAAGAAAATCTCTCGCTCTTCTTCACCCACGATCTCTCGGAATATGCGCTGGGTCTCCTCTCTTGACAGCGATTCTCTTGGGGAATCAGAGAACTGGCTTCCTAGAAAGCTACGTGCAAAATCGCTGCTCACCTCGGTTTCGAAAGGACATAGCTCATCCTGCAACAATGAATCTTGCTCGACTACAACATTCGATGGCTCGTTGTAGTTCAAGCTTGAGCAACCTGGTTTGCTTCCAGCTGTCGATTGAGCGAGAAAGTCTGTTTCCAGTTTGTTTTTGCCTCGAACGAAACATTCTGATAGAAGATCTTTTGTGAGATCTTTTGTGAAATCCATAGTTTCGTTTAGCTCTTCACTACACTCAGTGTTGGTTGCTTCAGCAGCCAATTGGTCAAGGAATAGAAGATCATCGTTCAGCGGATGTTTTGCATCGGATCTCATCAACTCCTTGCTGTAGCCTAAGTCCTCTGCGCGAGTCCACAACTGCTCAATTGGAGAGACCTCCAACGGTTCAAGATTACTATCATCCTCATGGTGATAACTCAGCCAGGCGGGATGATCACTCAGTGGCATCGAGCTCGAAGAAGACTCTACAACTGAATGGTTACGAGAAGACAAAGATCGTTCAATTGGCAACCAAATAATCTCGTGTCCACTTTTTTTGAGTTCCTTCAGGCTCGGTATCGGCGCCCAGTTTGGAAAGACTTTGATTAAACCGCAAATAGGGTCGTAGGTGCAAAACTGAGCGTGGGCACCACGGTGAGAATGGTGGATCAATTTGGCAATAGCTTCAGCTTTGCTGCTACACTCAACTACGTGCTCAGCGGAGTATCTGGTCTTTGGAAAGTCAATAAATGTTGGCATTGAGGTGCACAAGTTATTCTCAGCCATCGGTGGCTTAATATCTGGTCTGTAAGTGCTGGCCTTTTCCGGAGAAGTTGCTCGGCGCTTGTTGATTGGAGACGAGGCAGCCTTAGAAAGCATTTTTCTTTCTGTTTCGGCCAGGTCAATCTGAACATGTCGTGGTGTAAGTCGTTTCGGCGAAAAGCTGTTGAACCGAAATGGCTCTGGTGGCGTACGAAAGTGAATTGATTCTTCAAGCACCTTATTTGCGAAACTGCCCGTTTCAACTCTTTCCTCACAAGATGAAATTCTCTTCCGCCTAGAGTAGGGTTTTGTCTTTTGAAAAGGTTAGCTTCTCCTCTAACATGACCTAATGAATGGAGACCTACCTTACGCAGAATGTTGTTTCCGACAGCGATCGCTTTCCAAGTTTCTGAGTCATCTTGTTCCAAGGTCGTATCTTCGCTACTATGAACGTGAAGGTTCTTTGTGATTTTCGCCAGAGTCAATCGAAGATTCTGTTTAGCTTTGTCATTCTCGATCAGGGCCTCCAAGGAAGAGGTTGACGCTGTGTCTGTATGCGGAGTCTTTATCTCTTCTCGCTTGTTATAGAATGCTGGATCGAAGTCCTGGGTGTCGAAGCTAGGATCCACTTCCCGAACCTGAATAGATGCTCTCTGGTCCCGGAAACTTGACGGTTCAAAAATTGTTCCCTCTCCACATGTGTACAATTGTGATGCCTTTCTGCTCGTGGGATCTAAACAATCTTCTCCCAAGAAATCAACTGCCTCCATTGGCTGATACTTCTCTGGGGATGGACAAGGCGATAGCTCCATATTCGAGCATCCAGTGTCGGAACGACCACAGTTTGATTCAATAAGAGCACAAAGTAACCCAGGTGTTCTTGGCCTATCATTTTCTTCAGACGTAGATTTGGATTCGGTTTTTGATTCAGTGGAATCTATGGAATCGGTGGTTCCAACCTCGCGAATTGTAACCATTACCGGCGAATCGCCGCCTTCTTCACGAAATATCTGTCAGCGTTGTGTTGTTAACGATTTTCACATAATGACTTACCCTTTTCCGGGGCTTGGATATTTTGGTTGCACAATTCCAATGGTTCTTCCGCTTGCTTTGCCTGAGGGTCTTTGAAAGTTAGCTCACGCCGTGAAGGTTTGCTATGGAGCCCTCACCGTCCGCCATGCACTCGACAGGTTCCGTAAATGACATACCATCTAGACTGGCACCAGGAAGATGCAATGATAGAACCGTTTTATGGTTATGCGAATTTATTGGGTGAGTATCCTTCACTGGAGGTTTGACTTTGGTTTCACTGTTGAATGAAGATAGGAAAGGATCTGCCAGTGAGGATAGAAACTCGCGGTGGCTTGTAGTGCGAGACAGTGTTGTATATTTTGCGGAGACCTTGTGTGTGACTCGACCGAAAATGTCGCTGAGACTTTGCCTTCTTCGAGGTGTTGTTGGTCTGTGGTTTTCTACACATTCTTGTAAGTCCTGTACGAAAATATCACATAGGAGATCTTGCCTTTGTCTTCGGAAGTTTTGCCTGCTAATGCGCTGACTGGACGAGGATGGCTAGCTTGCGATATGTGGTCGTCGCCACTGGAACCAGAAGCCGAAGGTCTCTGTCGTCGGGAGAAAAGCTCCCATGCAGACTTTCTCTTACTGAGCGTTCTTGGATTACTGGTGTCGGATCCAACTGTTTGTCTGCGGCGCAAGGAGAGGGCTTTTATGGAACCAAGAAGTTTCCCTTTTCTGGAAGAAGGGACGTTTCTTTCCACATGTCGCGGGGGGTTGTAGGTATTGCAGAAGGGAGTCGAATGCGGCTTAGGAGTCTGAGGAAAAGGACTGAACCCGATGCTTGTTGCGTTTGAAGTAGCCATAATGACTTCTTGGAAATGTATCTGAACCCAAGGTTAGCAGGACTCGCATTGGGAGCAGCAACAGGTAAGTGAGCGTACTTTTGCCTAGAAAGAATTGATAGACAATGTGACTGACGATTGCAGTCAAGTGACAAGTAGAAACGTTTCTATACCCAAAATTGCAACATGCTAGAATTTAAAGTGCTTGAAAGGATCTGGCGCTGATTGTTGAGAAGAAATCGACCTACTGTGCAAGGCGGGTAATCACTCACTTACCCTGAACGTAAGCGAGGGCTTCGCTCCTGCCTCGTCTAAAAAGGGGAAAGGTAACTCGGCAGGCACGCTTGAGGCAGTCGGGATAGACATCAACATTTCTCTGCAGCTACCACGACCAAACGACTGCAGGTACTCGTTCGTTGGAGTTGATCATTTTGTTGTAACAATGACTTTCATTCATAATGCATTGCAGAATAGGTGCAGCAATAATATAAAGGCTAGTACGGATATTTGTGGTCGCTGTTATGACCTTTGGCTGGCTAGCCTGCGGGTTTCTATAGGTGATACAAGAGAGTTGCATTGAGTGGATGCTTGAGTTTGACTAGAGAAGGCAGTATAGGTCCGCAGTACTTCCGTTCATGATTTGGGTTACACTTTTCAGATCTGAAATGGGGAAATACAAAATGTGGCGTAAAGTGTGAATGTGGCTGAGGAAGACCTACTGTAGTGGAGCTAGTGCTGGTGCTGGTGCCGCTTTATTATCATGACCCCATCCCCACTACCAGGTAGGCTACATGAGCCTCGCCGCCAGTCGCGAGTCTTGGATATCGTAGGTATTTTTGGCTATACACCAAGACACTCTACCTTCACCACCACTATCTCTCCACCGCTCATCCTCCCTTCTCTCCCACTCCATCCTCGACGTATTCGATTCTACGCGAATACTGTCTGCTTGTTCACTTGTCTACTAATCTTCTTACACTAACCTGCAGCACAAGATCAAGATGGCTCCAGGAAAGCAGGGCGCTGTCGCCGTCGACTTGAACGCGATGCTCACCAAAGGTGAACACCACTATCCAGCGCGCATCATGAGACAGAACTCAGAAACTTTGCGCAAGATACTGATACCTTGATAGATCGTCAACGCCGCAAGAATGAGGCTCTGGCTGCGGAAGTATTTGGGAAAGGTCGCAGAGCATCTGCGCCGGGAGCTGGTATGATCAGTCGCAAGCCAGCTGGAAACACCGTACCATCCCTCGCAAGCAGAATCGGCGCCGCAAAGGTATAATATGGAATACCTCCCCCCTTGAGGGGCAGTCTCTAATATACAACAGCCATCAAGATCCCCTTCCACTTCCTTGTCGTCGAGAATCCAGAAGCCTTCCTCCAGACCAGTTCTAAAACCGATGGTCTCGAAACCTGCTGGAGATGTCAATGCCGAATGGACACACGATCTTCACAACCTCAACAGCCCACAGGATCCTGCGGTTCCGCGTGGCCCAAGAGCAGCGCGTCTTCAGCGTGGTAACCGCCAGCAACAGCTTCACCGTGCGCTCAACGGCTCAGCTTCGTCGCCCGCGCTGAATAGTCAATTCAACATTATCGGTAGCTCAAACCCAGGCATTTCTATTCGAGGAGTGGCAGGACCGTATATTATTGTTGCGAAGCATCTTGCGATGGGTACCACAGTTGCAGATATTGAGGCTGCGATGCTTCCAATTGGTGGCCAGGCTATCTCATGCGTTCTTATAGCCGAGAAGCCAAAAGTTATTGCGGAGGTTGAGTTTGAGACTAAGGAAGGCGCTGATAATGTCGTTGACACTCTAAACAACCAAACTGTAAGGCTCTCCTACCATTGGATATCGATTGCACGCTGACTTTCCCTATCAGGCTGATGGCAATATTCTCCACGTCTACCACAAAATCGGCGCTACGGCTTCTAGACCTGCTCAAAATACCACCAACGTTCCTTTGGGCCCACGAGCCGATACCGCAAGATACCCCAATGAAGCTCGCCCTACAGCCGAACGATACAACCCTAGAGAAATTGCCAAGACCCGCCGTGAGGAGGTTATTGATGGCTCATACGGATTTGACGCAATGGACACTGATGACAACCAGTCAAGCGGCCGACTCTATAGCGATAGCATGGTGGGAGGCCGAGGACGTGATCGAGGACGTGGGGACAACCGGGGACGAGGCAATAATGGAGGTCGAGGATACAACAACAGATGAAGTTAATGCCTTTGGTGTCACATTTGAAGCTTGTTACGACACTATATACCCCACCGGCTCAATCAACCTCTTGTTAATCCTGCAAATCTTACTGAATCAGTATGGAAACTCCACGAACCAACCAGAAAAAGTTCGGGAAATATAACTATATTTTCCCCCTGGCGGGATAGATCTGATTGCATACTGGTGATGCGCCTTAGAGAATAAGAAAAGGGGGAAACACGAGCCATAATTCTGTACGAGTAAAACGAAGAACGTAAAATGAAATGTGTATTATTAAAATGTTGTCTTTTTTTTAGGTCTCTACTGTATCATATACCCCATGCCTACGTTAATTAGTTAAGCGAAGTATTATACACCCCCAGGGCCTCTTCAACTATTTAGTTAGCCTCCCCTGCCTCGTTACTGTGATCCCTCATAATCGAATTTCACTTCTGCCCTAACATCCAAAATCCATTTCGCTTTTATCGTATCGTAGAGGAGTGCTACTTAGAAAGGGCAAGTCCAAGACGTCAAGACAACCTCCTCCTCTCATGAGATATCCGTCTTGGGTCTGTTGGAGCCATGTCTAACACACTTAGGGTATTTTACAATATGACACGGGCCCACTGTCACTCGCTACTCTCACCTCACTATACCAAAAAAAAGGATTCAAACCCAGATAAAAGAGTAAAAAGAATATATGTCGCCTAGTCCAAAACCCTTGGCGTGCGCTCTCGATGATCTCCATGCAATGTCTCAACGTCTCGGCTAAATTACATAGAATGATTCGGTAAAAGCTCCATCACCAGCAATATCACTCTCCCACGGATGCAAGTCCAGTTCAGTCCGGTTCAGTCCAGTTCAATTCAGTCCATTCCTCCCCATTCCCGCCCACCAACATACATCGTCCATCCTCCCCAGTTCATTGCCATCCGTCATACAAGATCACGAGCTCGAGCGTACAACGCTTTGTGAATAAAAATCGTACTTTCTTGCTGGCCACTTTCCCTCCCCTAACTGGAAGTATGTGCCATCCGCCCAGCAATTTTCGTGGGTATCATCGATCAAAAAAACAACGTCCATCCTTCGTCGAACCACCAAAACTTTATTCTTCACCGAAGCTAGATCGTTGTACTAGGATGTACAACGCAATAACCAAATGCCAGATGACGCCTGATATGATGTAGCTGCAAGCTCGGTAAGAAAATGTGTTAGTGCTGACGGTAATGCCTGATTCCAAAGGCATGAGTGGGTGGCAAATGAGCTCAATGCCATTGGCTTTGTCCCATGAATCCTTCCTCAAGCGTTCTGTCTTCTAGATTTCGAATGAAATCCCTATTACTTCTGGCACCACCTTGCTGACCACCTTGTGCAGCTCTGCCACCTCTCCGTCGAGCGCTTCCGGGGTTTCCATCAGGAGCTCCATCTGGGGGCGGTGGGTAATATGCAGGACTTGGTTGGAGGCGGATAGGAGCATTTGGATCAAGGTGACTGGCAACTCGCTGGATGGTGACGGGGATTCCGCCTTGCTGGACTTCCATAGTGGATGCCCTTTGGCGACCGGCTGCTGCTCGAATATTTGCTTGTTGATACAGACTTTGCTGTGGAGCTGGACCAGGCCCATACTGCGATGGCATCTGGGTATGAGCTTGTGGCATCATAGGCATTTGACTGTACGGTCCTGACTGTTGCTGTGAGGGATAAGGAGGGGGAGCGCCTTGGTGATTAGTAGCCGGTGGGTACATGTTGTTGAACATCGGGGTGCTTTGCTGCTGTTGAGCCTGCGGTGGTTGTTGTTGTTGTTGATATTGACCATATTGCGATTGAGCCGCAGCAGAGTGAGCTTGGGCCGAGGCAGCCTGTTGAGCAGCTGCTTGGGCCCTTTGTTTGCTCAACGCCTCTGCTTGCTGTTGCTGTTGAGTTCCGGGAGCAGGTGATCTGTTGACAGAACTAGATTTGAGGTTCATTGGTGGTACGAAAGGTCCAGTATACTTCTGTTGCGTGATGAACGGATGAAGCTTAGCTTGCTGAGGTGACCATCGCTCCAAGGGATTGATATTGAGCAACCCACGAACAAAGTCGATGAAAGCAACACGATTGTTCATTTCTAGCAATTATTAGTGAATGATTAGAATGGAGGCTTTTTCAAAACATACCTCTATCAATTTCGCTCTGCTTCATATTTTTTCTTGGCATGGCGTAAGAACGAATGATCTCTGGTAGCGTCGTGGCTTGGAAATATTTTTTACTTGGCTGCTCTTTCGTTCCATGCTCACGGGAGTACTGATCCATACTTTTCAAATGATATGTCCGTCTACCATAATCGTCCACATCAGTTCTCTTTTCGAAGAATTCTCCAGACTGTTTGCCCATCTCAAGCATCCAATTGGGTGGATTTCCAAGCATTTCCACAATTCTAGACACCTGATTGTACTCGGACGAACCAGGGAAAAGTGGAAGTCCAAGGAAAAGCTCCACAACGATACACCCCAGGGACCACATGTCGATTGCAGACGAATATGGTAGACCTAGTAATACCTCGGGAGATCGGTAAAATCGAGACTGGATGTACGTGTAAACCGTTTGACGTTCGTCACATGCCGACCCGAAATCGATGATTTTGATAATTGGACTCTCCAGATTTTTCAGCAAAATATTTTCGGGCTTCAAATCGCAATGAATTAAACGGGCCTTGTTCAGCAGACTCAGCCCATTTAGAAGTTGTTGCGCGAACACCCGCACAAGAGTTGTGCTCAATCCTCGGAATTGATTTTGTTTGATAAGTTCGTACAAATTGACACTCAACAACTCAAAAACCAAACATAGATGCTGTCGGTGAATAAAGGTATCCTTAAGTCGAAGCAGATGATGGTCATCATTCTTGTCAAGTTTCGTGTTGAGCTGCAAAGTATCAGTATGTCACAGATAATTGGACCAAGCATTTTCGTACCAAATCGAGGACTGAAACTTCCATCATGCTTTGGTTGAAATAAGCAGTTCTGTTCTTGACAACCTTCACGGCCACCACTTCTTGAGTCTTTAGATTCTGACATTTAACCACTTGACCAAAAGTACCTTGGCCGAGCACGTCCAGGATAAGGTACCGGTTTCTACAAATTGTTAGCATACTCCGCTACTCGAAATCTGGAGCTGTTGACCTCGGGACATACTTATGACCAGTCTCCTCCGACCCGAGAATGTCATTCACATAAAGTATATAATCACTGTCTTCGTTGTCAAATCCGTCATTTTTCGTTCCCTTGCTTGGCTTGGTCAAGACTCGTCGAGGATTTCGAGACGATTCATACTTGAAGCTAGGATTGCAAATTCGATACGTGGATGGCAGATGACTTGTGAGGGCTTGGAGAGGCTACAAGATTAGGTATGTTAGTTTTAATCTTGCTCTGTGAATATAGGCATTACTAACACTAATAAAGCCTCCTTCAGGATTTGCTCTCCTAAACGCAGGCTGCGAATTAACCTTGGGTTGCAAGTCGGTTATGGCTCGAATCTTTGTAAATTCAGGAACAGGACCTCGTCCTGGAGGTCCTTGCTGCTGTGCGACCGGCCGGCGGGGAGATTTGGGGTCATTCCCAAAAACTGCATTTAGCTGGGCCGTCGCAGATGAGGGATAGCCTTCGTTATTCGAATTGTACGGGGAAATTGGAGGCAGCTGAGATGGTTGCCGAGTTGCGTAGTAATTTGTCGGCGAAGGGAAATTTCCAGCTCCTCGGGTAGGAGATTGTCGCTGGGCTGGAGACGCATATTGAGACTGTGGGGGCGCACCATATGGCGAGCTTGGGGATAGTGTCTCCATGGGAGAATATCTCTGAGCAGCAGCGGACGGCTCTTGAGAACCATGGTGTGCTCCAGCTCTGCCTCCCGACAAATGTTGTTGATGATGCGGTCGCATAGGATATTTCATGCCACTGTATGGATCACCTGCGTCTTGCATTGCTACGTCGCCGTTGGGATCGCGCATCTGCGGCGTGGTCGCGTTGGGAGAAGCTGAATGTGAATGAGATTGAGGATGTGCGCTCAAAGCGCCTTGATAATGCTCGTAGGCGTAGCCGGCGGGGGGCTGGGACTGAGGATTGCCGTTTCCGTTTCCGTTGTAGCTGGAGACTTGGGCGTTGTTGTAATCTCGCGACGACATGGGCGGCGGTTGGTGGCCTTGGGTTGGCGGGGGGTTGCCAGCGTTGCCCGTATACCTTCTCGACGAAGCTCCCGATTCGGGAAACTGCTGCCACTGGTCCATCGTGAGTCAGCGCCGCGAATGGGATGGGCGAGAGGAGGACCAGCGCGCGGGGGGATTGGATGGCTCTTGTCGGTGCTGGCTGCTGGCGTCTGCGCAGCAAAGGCCCAAGAGCGAGCGAGCAAGAAAGCGTCAATCCAGTGGCAGCACAGTACAGTAGGGCAGTATGGCAGCAGTACTGTAGGGGCTCCAGCTGGCGAGACACCTCACGAAGCTAGCTAGCGTGCGAGCCTGAGCCTCCAGTCGAGCGGAAGCGGAAACGCGTCGCTGCGGAAATGTCAAAGCCTCAACGAGGCAGCCGGTCAGTATTATGTGGTCGTCAACGATGCATTGCGAAGGGGAGGGTGAGGAAGGGGAATATAGAAGGTAGACCCGTTGGTAGTGACCGGATCTTGGGTTTGTCGTTTGTTCGTTGGGTCGTGAGAGGATGGCGGCCCAGAGCTTGGTACTGTGGCGGCACCAGCAATCCCTCGCAGGCAGCCTGGCAGAGGGGTTTAGCCCAGCAGGGAGTGAATGGATCACTGTACGCCACGAGTAAGGGGTGTGATAAGCGAATGGAGTGGAGTGGAGTGGAGGAGGAGAGGGGAGAAACACAGACAATACCAGATGCTGGCCTCTGCAACCACAATAATGGCCAAAGACCCTGGTGGGGAAACGACATAATCAGGTTTCTATGGATGATCATATCCTTGGTTTTGGCTGGACTTTCTTCAATGTCAATGGAATCTTCACATCACGATAGGGTGCGTCTAATAGTCACAAGACCATGTACGAGTAGTAAGTAGCACCATAGTACAACAATACGCTGGCAAGGTTGGCTATGACTGTGAGGTAGCTTGGTAGAGCATCCTGATCTTCCATGCGAAACAGCTAGAAGAGTGAAAAGTGTGAGCATCAAGTAGTATTGGTACTGGTATTGTCCAGAAAAAGAAAGGTTACGAGGCATGAGAAACCGGGTTTCTACTTTTTCTAGAAACGCTATTTATTTTACGCTCAGATAAAGTCTCTTGCACAGGGGACTTCCAATTCTTGATCTGCTTCCATTCGACGTTCTTGGTGTCATGCACAAGTTAATGTATCTACATATCTTTCCTCGGATAGGAGGTTGTCGGTTATCCTTGTATGCAATTCTGCTGAGCGCCTAATCAGAATATTCCCCGAGATCCCCATCCTCATTTTTGGAACACTGAATAAGTGTCAGCTTATTCGTATATCGGCGGTATCATTTTTTCATTCTCCTCTCATTGCTGCTATCAAGCAGTAGTCAGTAGTCCTGGTATTCTCAATTTTCCACATGCAATACGCTTCCCAGAAATCAAAGGATACCATGCCTCAATCCGGGCTGACAATTTCGTTGACAATAACTGTTTCCAAACTCGGCCATTCGTTGCCTTTGCCATGGTGATATAATTAGCCGGACCCCCAATTCGCGGGGCAAAAAGCGAAGCAGTTAGAGAATATGAATACATGAATCCTTCTGAGCTTCAAGTCTCCGGGGAAATGATCGCCAAAAGCCTTTGGTATTTGGCAGATACAAGCAATCGAGTCCCATGCCATGCTTGCATGTGCTTTTGGACTCGTACAAAGAGTAACAACCCTTTCTCAATTATTTTCTTCATGACTCTTCTGTCTTATGTGCTGTGTTGATCAGGTAGATATCACCTAGGATTTAATTATTGTCAGAGCTCGACCCCTTTACGGTAGAATCCCAGTACACTTCTAAGGTAAGAGTTAAAACGATTACTGCATACGGGTATGGAGGGAGTTGCTCACCCTCAAAGGCCCTTAGGGATTTTTATTGAGTTTTATCAATGGGTTCTGTTTGGGTACTGGTATGTTATGACCGTATTCATGTCTCGCACAATAGTTAGCTGTAGACATCTGATCCTCCAAAAGAAGGTACAATAGGGTATACACCAAGCTCAAGAACTTCGTATATTAGGGGGTAAAGGTTCCATGTCCATACAAAGTACGTACGTACAATTGAGCTTGAGAGTTCGCGAATTCACATGATGTCGTGTTGACAGGAGAAAAGCGGCACCAGCACCTGCAGCACATCGCTCTTTAAATAGGTCAGAAAACAAGAAGTGTGAATCGTTGCAGTATTATATATTTAATAAATTGCCTACACTACTTTTACTTCAAAGAGACATGAATTGTGTTGTGCTTCATACTAGCTAGATCTTTATATTGATTAATGGTGGTTGGATCGGTCAGGAATATTGGGGTGCTGCTTCTACCTAATGCAGGCCAGATGACGCATTGCTGGTGGGTGAACTTTGATCTTTCATGTCGGCTTCACTTTCGCATCCCCAACTTTCAGACCTCTCACAATCGCCGCATATTGAGAACAACCCTGTTCTTCTACCTCCACTACCTGCTTGTGGCGCAGAAGGTTTCTCTCTACCTCCTCATCAATCCCTTCACTCCCATCCAGTGCTTGCGCCTTTTCTCTATCTTTTGTCTTAGTTGTTTAATATCCGCTGCCTATTGACTTTCAACTGCTCCGTCACTTTCGCATGCGTCAACCCTATCTCATTTCATGAGTGTTCCTCATTCTTTCTTCCAAGTACAAATCAGTTATTGAGATGGAAACTCATGGCGAAACCAATCTCCATCGTGAGCCAGAGGACGCCGACTCAACTCCCACCACTCACATCAAGCTCATAAGAGAGGGGACTGACACTATCGCTGAAGCTGTAGCCGTCGCTGCAGATGCTGCTATCGAAGATGACACGCTCTCGGAAGAATTGGCACTCGATGGAGCACAACCAACTGTTACGGATGAAGCCAGCGTACTCAAAGGCTTGACGGAGAATGTACGGGACCAAGATGATTTGGAGCGGGATATTACAAACCAAGCGAATTTGGTGATGATTGAGCAAGAGGATGAGAGAGATCAGAAGCGCATCGAAAAGGTCAATTCCAATATCGAAAAACTAGAAGCTCAGAAAAGTACGCAGAAGCGACGATTAACGACGCCCTCGAATAACCCTCTTATGCGAAAACGATGTCAGGAGGAAATATCACGACTAGATACTGAAATCAAGAGTTTGAAGAAAGATATACATGATATACAGGCGCGCGTGGAAGAGAGACATCAGTATGATGGAACAGATGGAGCACAGGCCGATGCCATTAGTGGTAATAATCGAATGCCGAATGAAAGCCAGCGAGACTTTCTCATTCGTACTGGAAAGATTACACCATTCTCGCGAATGCCAGCAAGAGGCTCGGAAGGACTAAATGGAGATCTTATGGAAGTTTTACTGGACGCAGAGGAAGAAGTGGACGATGAGATTGCTGCGATTACTGCGGCGGCTGCGGAACCCAGATCTCATCAAAACCTACGATTGCCTGGTTTTGCCAATGCCCCTGAGAGTGATACCAGTACTGTTGGGAGCGAATTCTCTTTACGGCCTAGGAAGAAGCGAAAGTTCGATAGCGGCTCTTCAGCGTCTCGTGCGAAACAATTGTCTCCATATGAAGATGCTGAAGGATTTGCTCCTGGTAGCTCAGAGGAAGACGAATTGGAGGAATTTGTTGAAGACGATGAAGATGATGCACTCGTGACTTCTCGAACCACCAAAAGAAAGTCATCTTCGAAGACAAAAAAGGCGGAAGAGCAAGTAGATATCGCTGGTATCGACGACGGAAATGAGAAAATGTACCAAGCGAGGCTCAAGGGGTGGGTGGAAAAACGAAGTGCAGCAAGACGCCGCAAAATGGAACATGACAAAGCTAATGGCGAAGAAAATCGGACCGAAACTGTCAGTGACGAGGAGAAGGAATGGTTTAAACCATGCCCTGATGCTCCAGATCACCATTTCGATAATGGTTTGAAGTTGCCAGGCGATATATATCCTGCACTTTTTGATTACCAAAAGACTGGCGTTCAATGGCTTGGGGAACTGTATTCGCAATCGGTTGGTGGTATTATCGGCGATGAGATGGGGTTGGGAAAGACCATTCAGATCATCTCTTTCTTGGCTGGCTTGCATTGCAGCAAAAAGTTGACGAAACCCATCATTGTTGTTGCCCCAGCTACCGTACTCCGACAGTGGGTCAATGAATTTCATCGGTGGTGGCCACCTTTGCGAGTATCGATTCTTCATAGCTCGGGTAGTGGTATGCTAAACGTCAGCAACGAAGATAGACTTGAAGAATCTGAAGAGGAAGAGATATATGGTCGCAGGAAGAAGCAAAATTCCAAATCTGCTAGAGCTGCAAAGAAGATTGTGGACAGAGTTGTTCAGCATGGTCACGTTCTAGTCACGACTTACGCTGGACTTCAATCATACTCGGATGTATTGGTTCCTGTGGATTGGGAGTATGCCGTTCTTGATGAAGGCCACAAAATACGAAATCCAAATACCGCCATTACCATCAACTGCAAAGAACTGAGGACAGGAAATCGGGTCATTCTGTCAGGCACACCGATGCAAAACAATCTAGTTGAGCTTTGGTCGTTATTTGATTTTGTGTTTCCCATGCGACTTGGGACCCTAGTCAATTTTCGGCAAGCATTCGAAGTACCCATCAAATTGGGTGGCTATGCCAATGCTACAAATCTTCAAGTACTTACTGCAACCAAGTGCGCAGAGACATTGAAAGCAACCATCAGCCCATATCTTTTGCAACGTCTCAAGGTTGATGTTGCGTCGGATTTACCCAAGAAGAGCGAGCAAGTTATTTTCTGTAAGCTCACAAAGCCTCAACGGGAAGCGTATGAGATGTTCCTTTCTTCCGAGGAAATGAACTCGATTCTCAATCACAAACGCCAGTCCTTGTTTGGTATCGACATTCTACGCAAAGTTTGCAATCACCCTGATCTATTGGATCCTCGTCTGAGAGGCAAGCCTGGCTACCGATGGGGCAATGCAAACAAATCGGGGAAGATGCAAGTTGTGAAAGGCCTTCTGGAGGTCTGGAAGGGTATGGGCCACAAGACCTTACTATTCAGTCAGGGTGTTTTGATGCTCAATATTCTGGAGGAATTCATCAAGAGCTTGCCCGGGTTCCGCTATCTACGTATGGATGGTAGTACCAATATCAAGGATAGACAAACTCTTGTTGACCAATTCAATAATGATCCTGATCTGCATGTGTTTCTCCTTACGACGAAGGTTGGAGGACTTGGCGTCAATCTCACGGGTGCAAATCGTGTCATTATTTTTGATCCAGATTGGAATCCCTCAACCGACGTTCAAGCTCGTGAGAGAGCATGGCGCTTAGGGCAAAAGAAGGAGGTCACTATCTATCGATTGATGACGGCTGGTACCATTGAAGAGAAGATTTATCAACGTCAAATTTTCAAGCAATTCTTGACAAACAAAATTCTCAAAGATCCAAAGCAACGTCAAACCTTTCAAATGAAGGATCTGTATGACTTGTTTAGTCTTGGAAGTACGGAAGATGGTACTACAGAAACCGGCGAGATGTTCAAGGGTACCGAAATCGATTTAAACAAGACTACTGGTCAGTCTGCCAATGGTGCTGCTTCGGATGTGTCTGCAGGCCCTTCAATAGACCTATCCTCTGGTGGCCAAACCGACACCCATGATGCCAATATAGAAATAAAAGACAGTGGAACCGACCAAAGTATTGAGAATATCGATGGTGTAGGCCGTCTCGAGACCTTCCGAGGCGACCCCTCCGAAGACAAACCCTCCTCTAATGAAGCCCGACTTATGGAGGGTATCTTCGCCAAGTCAGGTGTCCACAGCGCCCTCGAACACGACCAAATCATCAACGGCAAACAAGTCATCACCCCAGATCGCGGCATCCTCGAACGAGAAGCCAAACGCGTCGCCGCCGAAGCAGCAGCCGAACTTCGCCGCGCCGGTCAAGCAGCCAGTCGTATCACCCCCGGAACCGTCACTTGGACAGGCGAAATGGGATCCGCAGGACGACCCGTCAATATCCGCAGTCGTGCCAACGGACCCAGTTCCCAAAGCATCCTCTCCGGACTCGCCAACCGACAGGGTCTCTCCACGGCGGGCACTGCGAGTGGAGGGTCCTCCCGCTCTGCTACTCCTGGGGATGGCACCGTGGCGCCAAAAGGTAAGGATTTCATGAAGTTGATTCGGGATTTCATCCGTACGCATGGCGGGAGTGTGCCGAGTCAGATGCTCGTGACGCATTTTAATCGCATGTGTAGGAATGAGCGCCAGTCGGCCGAGTTCAAACACATGCTTGGGGAGATTGCGCGCTTGGAGAAGGGGGGGAATTCGAGGATGAGGGGGAAGTGGGTGTTGAAGGATGAGTTTAAGTGAGTGGTGATTTATTTGCTGGTGGGGAGGGTGAGGAAGGTGTAAGATTACTGTGAGATTGGGAGGTGTTTTTGTAGGGGGGTTATTTGGGCATGGAGTTCCTGGGATTTTCGTGGATTTGAGCGTGGGTGGATGGATGGGTGGGCGTCGTATGGGAATGATAACGATGCCTCACGATCCTATATTGAGGAAGGCGTTGGGGAGTTGTGAATTACTTGAGAGGTCTTTTTACTTCGTTGCCTGCCTGCCTGCATAATCTGCTGGTATATGGCTTGGGCTGGGCGAGCGTTGAGAGGTAAATACTACAATACCACAGTACCAGTGTATCTAGGAGGGAACTAGATAGTTCTTAGATAGAGATTTATGAATGGTATTCCTTTGAGGGAAATTATCTTGATCTTGAGAATTTTCTGTTGTGTTTGTGTGTGGGGGAGGGGGGGTTAGTTGCAGAGTAGAGGAGAGGAGAGTGTTGTGCGTGAGCTTTTCTCTATTCTCTGCTGATCGTTTTTTTGGGTTCTTGTTTGTCAGTTTGGTGCAATGGGATGTTTTGGTTTCTGTTACTTTAGGCTGTAGGTCTGATATTTGGAAAGAGAGAGGTGTGAGAGGTCCTCAGGTTACGAAGAGTGACACTTCAGATGTCACTCTCCGCTATTCATGCGTGAGCTCTGGCAATGAAATAGTTGCAATTCTCATCATATTCATCATTCGCACCACTTTTTGAACTCCAAAATTTGGAATTTTCCAGCCCCTTTGGTCTCATTCACATGTGCTAAGCTTAGAAGCTTGTTGGAAGAAACCAACTTGAATCCCTGTGCATCAACGACCTAGCAGCCACTCCCCTTTTTCGAAACTGCAGGTCTTTCTATACAATTCCAGACCCATGGAATTGTTATTCACCAACTTTTACCCAGAATGGAAGTTGCCGGTTTATAAACTTGGATGGATAGATACTTGCTTATTGCAAGTGCAAAAGCCAGATGAAGAGGCTAACTTGGTGTGTTCTAAAAAAGGTAACCACTTGCTCTCGCTTATTCACCTTTACCCCTATTACAACAAGTGGTGTAGTTATGCTGCAAACCGGTCCCCTCTTTACCGAGCTCCTACCTGCACTCAACTAGATCGGCTCGCTTATCTACGATCTACCTTCTTATTGGGGGTATGATCTGAGTTTCAAATTCACACTATTGTATGTAGGACTTTCCTGTTAGGCATCTCTTTTCAGAACACTAGGTGCAGATCTTCTGTGCTAACGATGGTTCTTGTCAAGGGTACGTAGGAAGTTTCAGATTCGGAGATCGACAGAGGCTATCGGATTCTGGATGCAAGTTTTATTCACCTCTCATGATTCTGTGGATGGTTTGTTTACTTGGTAATTCTCTTTTGACGATGGTTTGTTTACTTGGTAATTCTCCTTTGACGATGGTTTAACGTCTTTTTTGTGTTCAATTCCAAGCCTTTGTTGGAGAAGAGTTGAGATGTGTACATGTAGTCTTCGCACAGGTACCAATTGCTCTGTTATATTTGTTCAGAGATGGCAAATCTAGGACCTGGCACAGAGTACCTTATTCTGAGCTTCAATTCCAAATAAACCTAAGGATTGCTACCTTGGTTCAAGTTCTTTCCTCAATATTTGAGAAAAAAACAATTCACTTGCTAGAATTGAATTCCATACCCGAAAAAGGGAACCCGGTATCAATAGACTCGGTGTTACTAGATGAGATGAAGAAGATTCTTCATTCTGCGGCTGAGAAGTCTAATAGCTTCTCTTCCCTTCTATATTAGGAAGCTAGAGAAGTAGGAGGTTTTGCTCCGCAAGATCTGAAGCTCGCTAAAGGTGTATATATATCCCTCTTGCTCTGCCTTGAGTTCCCTTCCTTTTCTTACCATCAACTCATCCACAGTTTGCCTCTTACTGCCCTTACCTCAATCTTCAAGCCAGTCTTTACAGCATCTCTTCAGTTCAAATTGCACTTCAATTCTTTGCGTTCTGCATTCGCTAAAGTCAAGATGCCTTCCTTCATCAACAACATCGTTACTTTCGCTTTGGCGAGTCTGGTCCTTGTCTCCAACGTTGCTGGCGATAAGCTCATATTCCGCAACCGTTCTGACCAAGTTTGCTGGATTGATTTCACACCCAACACCGATGGAACCAAAGGCATTGGAGATATTCGTGTTGACCCCAAGCAAGACGTGGAGTTCAGTATGGATGGGTATGGCCCAGAGTGGGACCGTGGTCGTGGATGGCGTGGAAACTTCCGTGCACACCGTGACGGAGCTCCCAGAGATTATGATCATATTGTCTGAGGCGAAGTTTGTAAGTTCATCTCCCAAAGTGCTTCTGCTTATTCTCCACTTTCGAAGTGGATGTTCATTTGCCTCGCCAATAGGTTTTTGGCTACTCTTGAGGCATGGATCCTTCATGATGAAAGAGACTGACTTTGTGGATTAAAAATAGGCTTCCATTGCGACTCTCAACATCCTGAGTTCAACACCTTTGATGTCTCAGTTGTTCGTGACCCGAACACCCGGGAGGGAATCCACTGGATGTAAGTTCTCCAACTCTCCAAAAGCATCCCCAGTTTCAATGAACCATACTGACTGTAGCTTTGCATAGGTACCCACGAGGTGACCCAGGAGCCGGCCTCTCAGGCTGTGACCACTTCCCTTGCAGTACATGCTACGTCAACTCCGGGGACAACTGGCAAACCAAGACCACCACCTCCAACGACATCTACGTCGAGATCCGCAACAGCTAAACGACCTTTCGCTTCTCCTGAATCTAGACTCGAACCGATACTCCTGAAATAGACATAGATTCGAAACAAACAGAGCGACGATTCCTTATCATAAAAGCCATTTCCACCACCTTTCGATAATTGGCCTTGGATACGATGCCTTCTCACACATTTCGCCACCGGTCGTCAACTTTGGTTTATGGGTGCTTTGACTTGCACTGGGATTAGAGTTACAGATTTCTTTTTTTTTGGATTGGGCACGTTGCTCTTGATTTCAGAAACTTGGATAGCTTAGACTGGAGTTTTGGTGCTTAGAATAAAAGATTTTGCCATGATATCTTGTGCTTCTTTTGGGTGATCCAATGACTTGATCTAAAACCTTGGTTCACCTGGAGTAAAGAGCTACTGAGTTCCTGATTTAGCTCTTGGCGGGTTGCAAGCGCCGATCGCTAGCGGAAGAGTTGCTTAATCTTGCGACTTCACTTGATACTACTATTTTCACAAAAGGTATAGCGATTCATTTTTGTAACCAACTATTCTCTTCTCTAACCTCAAAGAGCCCAATACAACCTCGTAGCCTGTTCGTGATCATATTCTTATTCAGAAAGTAACTCTATTCAAACCACTACTCAGACACATTATCATTATCAGTTCACAGCACCTTCAGAACAAGAAATGCATGACTGAACTATCATCACCGCTGACCTCTTGATGGATTCTACACTCTTCTACATAGTCATAGTCGATATGCTGTATCTAACCAAAGACTCCGGACAAGATCGCTGCTCCAATCTCGCTCCCTGCTCTGGCTGGGACGGTTTCAATAACCAACCCATAACCAACGGAGAGCACAAAGACATCGACCTCGCTGGCAGAGCCTCTTCAATGATAGCGGTCGAGACTGGCAAGGAAACTTTCGCTCTCATTTCCTAGACAATGAAAGACTTGATCTGAACATCGTCTAGGCTGAAATCACCTTCCGAAGCGCGTTCCATGAGGCATACTTCAATGTATCCGATGTACTCAAGACCAATGCCCAGGAGAGAATCCATTACACGTATCCGTCCTATGATCATGATCCCCTAAGGTTTTCCCTCTGCGATCACTTTCCTTGCCGTGGAGCGTATGTTAGTGGAGATGATAACCGAATTTACGGACGCACATGATCTTATTGTTGAGTTGAGACCTGCTATGTAGTGATGTGGTGCGTTTCTGTGGCTCTGGTTGACATGGATTGAGGTTTAGATACACATGCAACGAGGAAAGCGGCAACGACTCTACAGGATTCTCCAAGAACTACAACTCCCCACCAACCTAATAGCATGGGTATCAACATTCCTCAACCAACGTAGGCTACGACTCGCTTTTGACGGTCAAATCCAGGAGTTCTCACCTAACAACTCTGGGGTACCACAAGGCAGCCCTGTATCTCCAATCCTGTTTCTCATCTACATTCGCGACTTTTTCAAGTCTACTACAATTACATAGATCTCCTACGTCGACGATATTTCCCTTACAACAGCCTCCCGCCACCTCAAAAACAACATTAAAAGACTAAAAGCAGAAGCCACGAAACTCTACAGGCTAGCAAATGAGAACAGCATTGCCTTCGACCTCGATAAAACAGAACTCATACACTGGACCAATTCAAAGGACACAGAAGAATTCACACTCAACCTCCCCAACCACCAAACCGTTCACCCAAAACAATGCATTAAGTGGTTAGGCATCTACTTTGACCCAGCATCATCTTTTAAGCACCACGTCGCTACCAAGGTAGCAAAAGCTAGAGGCGCATTTTTCAGGATGTCAAGGCTAGCAAACAACTCCAAAGGACTTACACCCTTTGCCCTCCGGCAGCTGTACACAGCATGCGTTACAAGTATCGCAGACTATGGGTCAACCATCTGGTGGCGAGGCCAAGCACAATTCACTACTCTACTTCAAAAACTCCAAAACCTTGCAATTAGAAAGATATTAGGGGTTTTCAAAACCACTCCTATCCTCCCAATGGAAGTAGAAAGCGCCCTCCCACCTCCTGAAGTTCGCCTCTCCTCCTCCTTGAGGATGTATGCTTTCCGTCTACTCAAACTCTCACCATCACACCCAGTCAACCACGCTATCGACAAGCTCCTCAATACTCAAGCAACTCCAAGGAAAAAGAAGCCGGCAACTCCTCAACTACAGCGAATCCACCGCTCTATTAGCAACTTATACAACCTTGAAGACCTTGAGCAAATACACCACTTCCACTTCCCTCCATGGGAAAGAGAAACTCCTTACAAGGTTCACATTAGCAAACTTTCAAAAGAAGAGGAAACTAAACTTCACCTTCGTCTACTCCAAAACAACTCAGATAACAGCATTTTCATCTACACAGATGCATCCTCTACAACAACAGAAAATAGCCAAGGAATTGGGGTAGGTTTGTCTGTAATCTCACCTCAATCAAACAGAATCCACTACGAAAAGAAAGTCAACATTGGACCAAACAAGCTCGTCTACAACGGTGAAGTTGAAGGGGCCACGCTAGCAGTTGAATACGCTGCCAAGCACGCTAGACCAGGGATCCATTTCCACATCTACTCCGACAACCAGGCAGGTTTACGGAGGCTAAAAACCACATCAGATAACCCAGGGCAAGAGTGCCAAATCAGAGCTATCACAGCTGCCCGGAAGGCAGTTAGCAAGGGAGCTACTACCACAATTCACTGGGTACCAGGTCACACCGACATTCCAGGAAATGAGAAAGCAGACAAGCTTGCAAAAGCCGCCACCACAATCCAACCATCCACTCAACTCACTAGCTTTGCTATGCTAGGAGTCAAGATCAGGCAGACCCAGAACAAAGAATGGCGTCAAAAGCTTACTACACCCCCCCGGCACACAGAACCATCAACTAACCAACACTCGTATCGAAGGGAATTCCCATGGAAGATTCTGTCGAAACCTTGCGTCCCCCAAGGAACAAAAAGAGAGATAGCCAGCGCCTTTTATCAGCTTAAGCTAGGCCATGGATACTTCAAATCATACCTACACAAGCTCACCCCAGCCGTGCTACTATAGTCTCAGACTCACACAGCACGTTAAAAGGAATAATAATAATAATAATAATAAGTACTAGGATAAGCCTTATAAAGTATAATCGGCTAGTAATAATAATATTAAATAAGAGTAAATTATTAATAATAATTAATTATCTAGTACCTCCTTCTACCTCCCCGAGACTAAATATAAGGCTTAGAATACTATAGTAGTAGATTTAAGCTTTTGTTTATAGAATAATTTAGAGTATATATATATTTTATTTAGGCCCTAGGATAAGGATCTTTCTATTATAAACAATAAGATTATCTAAAGAGTATTATATACCTATTTTAATCCTCTTTTATAAGATAACCTAGGTTATCCTATAGCTCTTTCTCTCTTTAGGTTTATAAAAACTCTACTTAAGTTTTTTATACTATTTTTATATAACTTAGGTAATTCTTAAAATAATTATTATAAATATAAATATAAATATAACTAAAAAGTACTAAGAGAGATAAAGAGGTTATATAATTAAAATAGGATACGTAGAATAGTATTAGAGGGATATTAATTTAGAAGAGCTTCTTATATTCCTTATAATTATAATATATTTTAGTATCTATTTAATAAAAGAACTATATATTAGATAGAAGGAACCTAATTATCTACTAATAAAGTATGTATTAGAGAGTTAGTATAAGAATATTTAAGAATATCTTTATATTTCTTACTCTTCTACTAATATAAAAGACTACTATTAGTATATAAAGTTATTACTACTATTTAAGTATTTATAAGTCGCCTTTAAATAGTATATTATACTATTATAAGATATAGTAATTAAAAAAATAATTATAAGGTTTTTTAAATAATCTAATAATACTATTTATTATAAGTATAAGCTAATTAAGAAAGGGTATAAGATATAGGCTATATATTTTTTAGGCTATATATAAGACTTTTTATTTAGTTCTAGGAAGTAGAAAACTACTAAGATTTAGCTATAATAAAGTCTTACTTCTATAAGTATTAAATAGTATTTATACTTATTATCTTTACTAATAATTATAAAGTCTATGGTATACTAGCTTACTAAATCTTTACTATATAAAGCTTAATAGTTTATAATCTATATAAATAATTACTTCTTCTTACCTAAATTATTTAATACATTATACATAAAACTTTAGATTAAAGTAGTAAAAACTTATTAAATGTATATTACTAAGCCTTTATTCTTAAAGTAGTTTAATGTAACGAATACTCAAACTGGCTAACTAAACTTGGCTGGGTGTTCGCTGGTTGGTATGCTATGATAAGAAGAAGACTATCGGGTTGTTCACTTGGAAGTGAACTCGTTACTTGTATCAAAGATGTCAAACTAATATGATAAGATTGATAACTAAGTTGTGCACGAAGCTCCTATCTAATGGCAGACGTGCCAGTCTTATATAGAGGACCTTCGTTCTGTCTTGATCACTCTCATCGACTGTCGATGTTGGCGATCATCGCTTTCATCGACAACGATAATGTCGATGAAGCTTATCACGTGATTTCTTCCTGTGAAATCCCTGGATCGTCTAGCTAGTCTATTCGATCCCTATTTGCTATAAGAGCTTGTGATGTGCTTGACCTGTCAGGACGCCGCCTGGTCTTCACTCATCTCGTGACAACACGTGATTCGTGACATTTAATATAAAAGATAAAGCTACTATTGAAGTAAGCTTAGTTAATTAAAAACCGCTTACTAAAAAGAAGTACGAAGATTAAAAGTAAAGGTTATTCTTAGATATCTAAGAGTCTTAGTATATATATAGTAGAATAATATAGTTATAAGTTAAGTATATTATCTATAACTTAGTATATATTAGTAAAGAGTAAGTTATATTTTATATAAACATTAGTACTCTTATTAAAGTATAACTATTACTAATTATATTACTTATTATTCTTTTACTTAATTAGATCTTGATAAGATATAAAGTAGATAAGTCGAAAAACTATAAGTTAGATCTAAGCTATCTTTATTAGTATAGCGACTTA